GTGGTATATACATGTACAACATTGTGACTGGTATATACATGTACAACATTGTGACTGTGGTATATACATGTACAACATTGTGACTGGTATATACATGTACAACATTGTGACTGGTATATACATGTACAACATTGTGACTGGTATATACATGTACAACATTGTGACTGTGGTATATACATGTACAACATTGTGACTGGTATATATATGTACAACATTGTGACTGGTATATACATGTACAACATTATGACTGGTATATACATGTACAACATTGTGACTGGTATATACATGTACAACATTATGACTGGTATATACATGTACAACATTGTGACTGGTATATACATGTACAACATTGTGACTGGTATATACATGTACAACATTGTGACTGGTATATACATGTACAACATTGTGACTGGTATATACATGTACAACATTGTGACTGGTATATACATGTACAACATTGTGACTGGTATATACATGTACAACATTGTGACTGGTATATACATGTACAACATTGTGACTGGTATATACATGTACAACATTGTGACTGTGGTATATACATGTACAACATTGTGACTGGTATATACATGTACAACATTGTGACTGGTATATACATGTACAACATTGTGACTGGTATATACATGTACAACATTGTGACTGGTATATACATGTACAACATTGTGACTGGTATATACATGTACAACATTGTGACTGGTATATACATGTACAACATTGTGACTGGTATATACATGTACAACTTTGTACATCATTGTGACTGGTATATACATGTACAACATTGTGACTGGTATATACATGTACAACATTGTGACTGGTATATACATGTACAACATTGTGACTGGTATATACATGTACAACATTGTGACTGGTATATACATGTACAACATTGTGACTGGTATATACGTGTACAACATTGTGACTGGTATATACGTGTACAACATTGTGACTGGAATATACATGTACAACTCTGTACAACATTGTGACTGGTATATACATGTACAACATTGTGACTGGTATATACATGTACAACATTGTGACTGGTATATACATGTACAACATTGTGACTGGTATATACGTGTACAACATTGTGACTGGTATATACATGTACAACATTGTGACTGGTATATACATGTACAACATTGTGACTGGTATATACATGTACAACATTGTGACTGGTATATACATGTACAACATTGTGACTGTGGTATATACATGTACAACATTGTGACTGGTATATACGTGTACAACATTGTGACTGGTATATACGTGTACAACATTGTGACTGTGGTATATACATGTACAACATTGTGACTGTGGTATATACATGTACAACATTGTGACTGGTATATACGTGTACAACATTGTGACTGGTATATACATGTACAACTCTGTACATCATTGTGACTGGTATATACATGTACAACTCTGTACATCATTGTGACTGGTATATACATGTACAACATTGTGACTGGTATATACATGTACAACATTGTGACTGGTATATACATGTACAACATTGTGACTGGTATATACATGTACAACATTGTGACTGTGGTATATACATGTACAACATTGTGACTGGTATATACATGTACAACATTGTGACTGGTATATACATGTACAACATTGTGACTGTGGTATATACATGTACAACATTGTGACTGTGGTATATACATGTACAACATTGTGACTGGTATATACATGTACAACATTGTGACTGGTATATACGTGTACAACATTGTGACTGGTATATACATGTACAACTCTGTACACCATTGTGACTGGTATATACATGTACAACATTGTGACTGGTATATACATGTACAACATTGTGACTGGTATATACATGTACAACATTGTGACTGGTATATACATGTACAACATTGTGACTGGTATATACATGTACAACATTGTGACTGTGGTATATACATGTACAACATTGTGACTGTGGTATATACATGTACAACATTGTGACTGTGGTATATACATGTACAACATTGTGACTGGTATATACATGTACAACATTGTGACTGGTATATACATGTACAACATTGTGACTGGTATATACATGTACAACATTGTGACTGGTATATACATGTACAACATTGTGACTGGTATATACATGTACAACATTGTGACTGGTATATACATGTACAACATTGTGACTGGTATATACATGTACAACATTGTGACTGGTATATACATGTACAACATTGTGACTGTGGTATATACATGTACAACATTGTGACTGGTATATACATGTACAACATTGTGACTGGTATATACATGTACAACATTGTGACTGGTATATACATATACAACATTGTGACTGGTATATACATATACAACATTGTGACTGGTATATACATGTACAACATTATGACTGGTATATACATGTACAACATTGTGACTGGTATATACATGTACAACATTATGACTGGTATATACATGTACAACTTTGTACATCATTGTGACTGGTATATACATGTACAATTCTGTACATCATTGTGACTGGTATATACATGTACAACATTGTGACTGGTATATACATGTACAACATTGTGACTGGTATATACATGTACAACTTTGTACATCATTGTGACTGGTATATACATGTACAACATTGTGACTGGTATATACATGTACAACTCTGTACATCATTGTGACTGGTATATACATGTACAACTCTGTACATCATTGTGACTGGTATATACATGTACAACTCTGTACAACATTGTGACTGGTATATACATGTACAACACTATATGAATCTTACATGTATACATGTATAGACAACATTTGAATCGAGTATACACATATACATATAATGATGATTACAGTTGCAACAAATTGATATAAAGAGGAAGCTGTATTTAGCTTAGATTATTTGAAATACAGTGTTTATTAAGGCAAGTATTGTTATATGTAGAACAGCTATTGTGACAGTGTATAGAAGTTTTATGATGGGTTCATCAATATCACCCAGTTAGTTTGCTTGTTTGAGTGTAAGAGAGTATGTTCAATGCATCTTTATAAGATATGACTGTGATAACTAAATTTGATATCTGGACAAAGAAACTTGTGATGTATAAACACTCTAGTTTCACCAAGTCATAAAAAGTGGCCAGTCGATCAACAGTTTTAATAAATTGTGATAATAGAGACCTTGCTGTCATTGCCAACAAAAATTATTATATAATAGTTTGGTTACAAATTCTCTAAAATTTGAATAATTCAGAGATTTACAAAACAATTTCTGCACCAGCTTTGCTACTGCTGATGGCAACTAGGACTACTCTGAACCACAGATAGTATATTACAATCTCATCCAACTTGAATGTTTTAAGATATTTAACTTTTTTAAGGGACATATTTCACTGGGAGCTAGGTTATAGGGTCTGTGTGGATAAGCCAGCACCGAGTGGTATTGTTATCAGAGCACTGAAGGCAAGGATCATATATCTCTGTTATCTATACAACTGCCACTCCACGGGATCCTATCATAGCTAAAGAGTGCATACACCCACAGACTAAACAACTGTAGACTAAACAACAGGTCAGATACACAGGACGCTGTATAGCCGTCAATATACCAGAGGACATTGTACAATCTACATAACTTATGTCAAGTTTTTACCACTTACACACTCTACTTCATCATGAATATCACTTGATGTAAGTACCCACATGAACAGCTCGGGAAATTAATTATATACCTATGCAACGTCCACTCACAATGGGAAATGATACTTATGAAACCAAGTACTTTCTCAGCACATCACATAGAATAAATTGACTGCAGGTAAATTATAAATATGTCATTTCATATATATGAGTGATAATACATGTTCATAAGTTGCAAAAGGGTAGCTATTGACATTTGGTATTAAAAATTATCAAATCTCTAATTATTTTACTTAGCCATATAAAGCAAGTGCTCAATTAACTAAGACAATTAAAAAAGCTGGAAAGTTAAAAATTGATTACTGCCAATGTTCTTTCTAGTCTGTGGATCTCGCTCTAATCTGGATTTTGTATTCGTATGAATCCCACTGAGTGATATTTTTGTCTGCATCAGGGGGAAAAAAGTGGTTACCTGACAGATTATCACGCACACATCATAAACCCTCAGCACTTTCAGAGTTTTACAATCTGACAAGATCCTAAATTTGACCTCTGACCTGGTTTCTACACAACACTGCCGACATGGTTGGGGAGATTTTCGTGTGTTATTAACCCTTTGTTACACAGACTTTCAGTTATATAACACAAGATTATTCATTAAGCTCACCTTTCTAGAAAACCGCAGTCAATTTTATATTAAAAGCTACAAAGCTTTTCTGAAATAAGCAGTATTATCTGTAAAATTTACACATGTTTGTTCTTAAATTACCACATGCCCTTCAAGCTCCATGTATATGATGTTCATGTTTTTCTTCATCAAAAAATCTGTTACAACATCACACCATAAAACACTGATGCATATCTAACTACCTTGCCAAGAAAGTTTTAGGCATGTGTAAAGTTATGCTAATCTATTTACTAAAAAATGTTTTTTGGAATTAATCTACATTTTCGTAAAATATTTAGTATATTTCCATTTGTATGCAAAATTTCAAATATCATATTGAGAATGACTGTAATAGATTACAGCAGTGTTGAGGTAGATTGTTATTTATTACAGCAGTATTGAAGATGACTGTTAAAGGTTACAGCAGTGTTGAGACTGACCATTACAGATTTTAGCTGTGTTGAGGATGAGTCATAAATTACCAGTGTTGAAAATGACTGTAAAAGATTACAGCAGTGTTGAAGATGACTGTTAAAGGTTACAGCAGTGTTGAGAATGGCTGTAATAGTTTACAGCAGTGTTGAGGTTATTTGTTATTTATTCAACAGTGTTGAACATGACTTAATGGATTACAGCAGTGTTGAAGATGTATCTTATGTAAGACAAGAAGATGGGTTTTAGCCCTGTATCCTACCTGTGATACGGTTATGCCACATTTGCGTGCTAGTTCCTCCTTCGCCTCCTCACTGGGGTATGGGTTACTTAGGTGTGAGTAGAAGTACTCGTTTAGCACCTCTGTAGCTTGTTTACTGAAGTTTCTTCTTTTCCTCCTAAAATTGAAGTAATTTATTATTTTTAAAGCAAGAAACACAATTAATAAATCAGGTTTTCAGTTTCAAAATATTTTTTTTCAAAGTTGTGTTTCTACAAGCATTGTAGCTACATAATACTGTAAATGCAGGATTTGTTTTCATGGCAATATAAATCATAATTTTCTTCACAAGGATTTTACTAAAAATTCTCTACTGTTCCTGACCCGCCCTCATAACCATCCCCACTTTAATGTGAACCCACACAACAAAATCTGTTTATTGATGAAACTTTACCTTGCATCCAGGAACCTCGATCTAAGGATCATGACAGCTTCACATGTGCTCTGTTTCAGCTGCATCTCAATGGCAGCAAACTTTTTACGAATGATGCCAACCATACGCTCAATTTCTTTGGGTGCAATTGGGCGTGTGCGACTCTGTTCTCTAAGGAGGTTGACAACATGTGTTGTAAACTCATTACACGCCTGAAAGTATCAAAGAAGAAATTGGGGATTCCCCATTACCACAACGTCATCCAACAACAACAACAGGATGCTGACTCTCGCAATGCAAAACCAGCACACCAGTCCTTTAGTGTTCATTGGACAACGTTCTATCTGGTCATTTGGAAAGAAGATATGTTGTTATCATGATCATATTCAAGAAAAGAAAATTAAATTGCATAATTTTGCTATCGGAATGATCCTATTCAATAGTCCTAGTTTGATAAACATGCAGTTGAAGCAGGCATAAATTATATGTTGGAATCCTTGCAAGTTTCGTTGAATTTCTAAATACACATTCTATTTCAAAATTTCAGAAATATATCTTGAAAATAGTTGACACTAGTTTTTGAATCTCTAGTAACATAACATTCACATGTATTAAGGGAATTCGTTTTGGATTCATGCAGTTTTATAATGAATGTTGTGGGAAATCGTCCCTTTTCTAAACCCGAAAGACTATCTAAAAGTCTACACCATCACGTTATTCTCAACATAAACTTAAGGCTCTGTAAATGTGTATACTTTTTACCTATAGCAATCACACAACCTATTTCATCTGATCCCTGTACAGCCCCTTATATATGACATCTTCTATCTTGTCCCTGTATAACCTTTTCTATCTGACCCCTGTACAAACCCTTCTATATGACATCTTCTATCTTTTCCCTGTATAACCTTTTCTATCTGACCCCTGTACAAACCCTTCTATATGACATCTTCTATCTGGTCCCTGCATAACCTTTTCTATCTGACCCCTGTACAAACCCTTCTATATGACATCTTCTATCTGGTCCCTGTATAACCTTTTCTATCGGATCCCTGTACCTCTTCTATCTGACCCAAGTATAATCTCTTATAAGTGACCTCTGTCAATCTCTCCTATCCAATCACTAATTATCTGCCCCTGTCTACCTCTTCTATCTGACCCCTATTCAACCTCTATGATGACCCCTGTACATTCTTTTCCATCTGACCCCTGTACATCCTCTTCTTTGTAACCACTGTACCTCTTCTAACTGATCCCTGTACAACCTCTTCTTTCTGACCACTGTACAACCTCCTCTATCTGACCCTATTAACCTCTTCTCTCTGACCCCTGTACAACCTCTTCTTTCTGACCCCTATCAACCTCTTCTATCTGATCTCTATCAACCTCTTCTTTCTGACCCCTATCAAACTCTTCTTTCTGACCCCGATCACCCTCTTCTATCGGACTCCTATCAACCTCATCTTTCTCACCTTTGAACAACATATTCTATCTGACCTTAATCTCTTCCTTCTTAACCCTGCATAACCACTTCCATCAGATCCTTATACAACTTCTCTCACTGACCCTACTAGAACCTCTTCTATTTGACCCCTATAAATCTCTGACCCCTTTCCTTTTCTATTTGACCCCTATGAAACTCTGACCCCTGTACCTCTTCTATTTGACACCTATAAAACTCTGACCCCTGTACCTCTTCTATCTGACCCCATGAAACTCTGACCCCTTTCCTTTCCTATTTGACCCTTATGATACTCTGAACCCTGTACCTCTTCTATTTGACCTCAATAGAACCTCCTCTATTTAATCTCTGCATATAAAAAGGCAAATATAACTCATTAAAAAAACTTTTATATCTTAAATATGTACATCAGCATATATTTCTTTCTGTAGATGTTGGAAGTCAAATCTCAAAAATCTACAAATGCTTCAAAAATTTCAATTCAAAAATCTCAATTATACTTTCTAAAATCAACTGTCATGATGTGTTGTGCCTGATTTCAATGCTACATGAAGAAAATCCCAAATCGTTCTTCTTCAACAATTCAAAATTCTTGTTAAATCTTGCACAGTTATGTTAACATTTTCTCCAGAATTCCTTGAATTGGGTGTAGATCCCGGCTGTCTACCACTAGCCAATTCAGCTGGGTTATCAGCTTGGCCTCAAGATAAGTTTTATATTGATTTCATTGCCAGAACTGAGAAACGCGAGAATCTTAAACTCCATGCATTAAATATTGATCACAGAATCCTTACTTTACTTCATAATTCTCTAAACAAGTAGAAGTAGCACACATGATCTCTTACTAACACGCCTACTTTTAGACATTGATGGCTACCACAACTATATACCATATTATAAGTAATTAAAGCACATCAACAAATACATATTTGCATTACAAGTATCAACATGAAATTAATCAATCCCTGGATCTGCTGAATTCACAAATATAATGAACAAGTTGATAATATTGATCACATTTCAGATACATTCTATTACTGACAAGTAGAAAATTGGATACAAATGTGAAAATTAAAAATTTACCAATGAATAATTGTGTGGTCATTAACATTACACTTTTTTTTCTCTACTTCTATAGATCAATTACGGTACTATTTACAATAAATATTTAACATAACATATGTTTAAAGTAATAAATACAAGTTTTTAACGATCAAAATACTTTGAATAGGCACAAAAAAAAAAGAAAAAATTAATAAAAACCCATACAGACACCTTTATCCAAAAATTGAGGGGAAAAAATCTACACACCCACAAATTTGTCTACTTAAGCTACCACTAACTAACCAATTGGACACCTTCATTTTATCAAGCTGGCCAATCTAAACTGTTGTGATTACACATGCGAATCAAACTCCTCTTCCCTAAACCAGTTGCCCTTGTTAATGATGAAAATTGGTTCTCTCAACACATACAAACATCATCTACAAAATCATATACATGTCTTAGAACTTAAATCAATATTCTCCCCAACATATACCATGTACATAACATTGAATCATTTCTTATACAACCAAATATACTTCATTCACTGTAATTTGTGAATAATTTCCAGCACTGGTAAATTTTCAAACATTTCTATAAAACTTAATAAGAATTCCAATCAATAAGAATTCCAATCAACTTTTGTTCAAAGACATGTTGATGAATTTGTCGAGACTTGTGTTACTGCTAGAAGATTTAGTCACTAACTAGTCTACTGTTAGTATATAAGTAAATGGTTATACAATACGCACATTCAAACTGTTTCCTTCAGAAACACCCAATTTGTTAATTTTATTGGAAAAAGTGAAAAGTGAAAATAAAAACGAAATAAGTAAATGGAAAGGATGATTATGAATAAGTGACCGGGACCCAAACTATGAAGGTGAGATGTGACAACACAGGTAAAGGAAGAAAAGACACACAGAACATGGCAAAAAAAAAATAAATAAACTGGAGTCAGTCACAGTGTGGAGTAGTGGTATTAATGTATTACAGTTTTGCCAGAAGACATAATGACGCTAACCTGTTCATATTTTCCGTACTCGGTTTGGTAGACCTGGCGAATCTGGGCGAGTTTTGCCTCGTAGTCTGAGTTTTTGATTTCTGACCCATCGCTCTATAATTATACAATAAGCAAGGTGGCATGTTCAAATTAAGGTGGTAAACATCAAAGTGCCAAGAAGGGCACTGGAAGGCTGAGGATACATCAGACTGTTGGAGTATATAGTCTCCAGACAATGACCAAGTCGTCAATCAAGGTGGACAACTCATGCATGACTAATGTCCGTCTGGTCGGGAGTTACGTACACGAGCAGTAAGACAGACACACCTCATCTACAGTCACTGATTTAACGGGCATCACAAGTATTTTTTTTCTTTAAATGAATTTTGATTTTCAGTGTCAACAGACTTGCTACTTTTTAATCATGGTCAATTTCTGTCACTTTCTGTGAGTTTTCTGATGTAGAAGATCGCTTTGTTTGATAAGCCCTGGGTTGTAGAAGATGAGGTGGGTCAGTATATTTTATCTGTCCGATGAATGATTACAGCTATAAAATATATAACATAATCATAATAATAATAGGGAAAGAAGGCTGAAAATGATAAAAGGACAATAGACAACAAATACATAACACCAGGTGGAATGTTCCAAATTATAACTACTAGGAAACGGATGAATTACTTCAAGTTTTATTTCACACCTTCCCAAGTTATAGAATATCCTGATTAATTATTTGTGTTCTTCAACTTTTACACTATGTAGCAATACATAATAACAGTCAACTTAATTACATCATTAATATTTGTTTGGTTATAATTCAAATTTTCATTACTTCACTTAGACAGGTTTAATGTTTCTTCTTACTCTATTAGACACTACAATATTGAATTAGCATTACATACATTCTGAAGTTTACTTACGTAGCAATTGGCACAAAAAATCTACATTATCTTTAAAAACCAATTAGAATTTTTGTGAGCATTGGTTACTTGGAGAAAGTGTTTGCAATTAACAGCACGTACTTAAACTTCTGAAATCACTAAAAAAACCTACCAGTTGTTTCCAATTTAGAAATGGAAGAAAAAGAGATTAGATTCACAATTGCCTAAGCCCCTATGACAATTTATTTAATTTTTTTTCCTTGACACTAAATGTGAATTACCTAAGCAGTAAAACTCCAGGGTTTTAGATAGGCATAACAATCCAGCATTATGGTACCAGCAACAAAGTAGTTGCAGACCAATCTCTAAAAAGCTACTTTTTTGCATTGAGTCGGGGCCAGTGAATCTGAAGATAATATAAGCGTATGGAGAATGTTGGCAGGAACCCCTGGGGACGAAGCCGGGAACTGAATTCCAGATAACCTTAAAATTATTGATCAGAAATCTGTATTTGTTGGTTTAATCCCTAAATATGCTTGGATTTTTTTTCTTTCCTGTGGAATTCTATGTCAGTTTGCTCCAACACTTGTTCCAACTCCTTCAATACTTCACATATTTCAACATACCCTGTATTTAAGTTAAATCTAAAAAAAGATATTATTTTTTGGAAACGTTTTATAGTATTTAACACTTAGTCCTTCCACAAACAGATGTAACTTGCAAACCTTTCATGGGTCAATGAACAGATATGGGTTAATATATACATCAATCAGTGGGTTCTAACGAAACGGTTTAGAGACTAATCTAAAGTTGTATGCATGCTTCATGATAACAAGCACACGAATCTAGAAACAAAATATGGGATCTATAAAGAAATTAGAATTATTTTTAAACAAAAGAATCGGGTAGCAAAATGGTCTGTTCATGCAGATTTAGACGGATATATTTCCAGATGTTTGAAAAGGAATTATCTTACACAGTTCATAAACAAATTACTTGTAGTTTAATATTCTTATAAACTGTATACATGTCATAGCGAGTGTATCAGATGGGTATTAAAGATATACTGGATGATTGTGATTTGATGGAGCCGACCTGAACATACTGCACATGTTGTCAGAAAACAATACTGGTTTCATGAAGTGCCCATCACCCAGCAATATCGTTTCAAGTTGAAATCATTGACGACATATAATTTGATTACATATAATCTGATATGTTCTGATATAAATATTGATAATTACTACATATATAATTACAAGCGATATTCCATATTCATTAATATAGAAACCTGTCTGCATATCACTTTTTTTTATTTTTCATAACATTGATCTGTTTGATGTAGAAAAACATATCAATCATATCAAAACATTTCAGATTACCAGTATCCTGAAAATTAAGAATATTTTTTAATAAAGATTAAACATATGTATACAAAACATAATTTCATCACCTTGGTCTCATGTCTGAAACTCAAAACAGAAAATTTCAAAAAGATAACTTACCTATTTCAGGGTAATGGATACACAAATGTACAAGGTAATGACAATTTTTCTTTCATGAAATGAACCATTTTCATAAAAAGATATTTTTGTATCAATTTTAAAAAGAAAAGTTCTTAATTAATTTTGTTGACAAAATTGTAATTTTTTATTCCATACATGAGTAAGAAATATCAAAGAATAAAGTATACCATAAAATCATTGTTTTATGTGACATCCTCTTGTCAAATATATCTATTTGATAAACTAGAAAATCCTAGGAAAGTCATACTTACTGCAGTCAATCTGAACATCTATATTTTACCTCTTTCAATTGTATCAAAGCATAACATCTTTTATGTGTAAAAATAAGGATTTAAAAACAAGGCCATATAACAAGAAATATAAAAATTCTGATCTTGCACCATAACAGTACAAATGTACTCTTGTAGAATACAATGGGAAAAAATCAAGTTATATAACTTTGTATAACAGGAAAAACAACTTTTCAGATGCATCAAAAATATATATGATCTGACAGCAAAAAGTTGCTGATCAAGTTTCTTTCATGGAGGAAATAAGGAAGCAAAACATTTGATATATATGAAGAAACAAAGGCATATAGAACACAGCATTTCAACAAGACAGTGCTGAGGTAAAATACAAGTTCTGTTTCTATCAAGTAGTTTCAAATCTAAGGTCAATTTCTTTTCAAATGTACATTAGTAAAGTAATCTGCCTTAAAATATGGATAGGAGATGACCATCCTGATAAACTATGCAAAGAAGAATTATATTTTACCTCTTTGTGAAGACCCACAAAACATGCATGCAAAAATATTCATTTTATAATATCATATATTGTCTGAAATCCTGTCAACCAAGGAGACTACATGTAAATGCATTCTCATACCTTATTCTTACATATCATTTAACCGATTGAAGTATTAACATAGAATTTCTAATGCAGCCATGTTTAGATGGGTATTCACTGCCACCATTTCCCTGGGTGCAGAGACAAACAAGTTTGTGAGGTTCACCTGTTCGTATTTCTCCAGTTCAGTGTGGTAAATCTGTCTTATTTGTGCCAGTTTGGCGCGGTAGTCTGAATGTTCTATGGCACTGTCAGGTTGGCCACCGGATGCTGCCGCTGTGGCATTAACTGCTGCTGATGAGCCGCCCCCTTTTTCTGGTCCTGCCACTCCCTCTGCTATTAACATGTTGTCAAGTCGCATAAGTTGTGGGTCTGGTGGCTCCTCTTCTTGGGAGTTCCTTATACTCAGTACTGAAACAGATACCAAGGTCATCACAAAGTCAGAAGGAAGACTCACATGTTCATGTTGGTTATTGAGGAAATAAATCAGTTTATATAAATTAAGTCAAACTGGAAAATACACTACAAAAATAGGTCGAAAATATTAAATTGAATAAAGGTCAAGGTCAAAATATTCACAAAAAGGTAGGTCAAGGTCAAAGCTAACAAGGTAAAATGTAAAAAAAAAAAAAAAAACATGAACAATTTGCAGTCAAATGATATGTAGAAGTGATTGATGAATAATTATACTATTTCTTAAAGCATATGAAATTTTAGATAGTGTCATGAAAGGCAAGTTAAAAATTTTTCTTGCTTTTTCTGCCTATTCTACAAAGTATTTCCAAATTAATTTTTAAGTGTTTCGATATCAAAGGAGATTTGGTCTGGTCAGACAATCTTTTTTATCATTAGGTCTGCCTATTCTACAAAGTATTTCCAAATTAATTTTTAAGTGTTTCAATATCAAAAGAGATTTGGTCTGGTCAGACATGCCTTTTTATCATTAACTCTTCAGAGTTTTGCTTCTATATTTTAATTATTTTAAAAACTTGATGTTTTCACATGGGAGGATTTCTTCCACATAAAATGTTCTATATGTCATTTACAACATAGAAGTAGCATTACAGGTCCAATAAAGTTTGGAGAGCTATAATGATATGGAGTTAATGTGTTCACACTTGGGTGAGAGACTAGTTTACAGGTAACGGTTGTGTGATTCCATCACCTGATCTACCTTATACTTATAAAGTGACGCAGCACATTAACACATCATCACAAACACTTATGAAGCCTTGTAAAGTTTATCATAACACTAACATAAGCCTGATCACAAAAATCCAGTATATTTTCGAAGAATTTTTAATATTTTCAAAACAAGTAGCTAAAAATGTGAAGTATCATAATATTTCGTAATCATTATAATTATCTGAATGTCCATTAAAATGTTGAACTATTACCAGCAATAGACAATGTCGGCATTTCTACTCTACACAGGTGCAGGGCCTATAATGTTAATGACACTGTGACAAGAAAACCAGCCAACCATGGCCAGTATTTTGACAGACATCTATTTTGACAACTCAACCAAAGCTATTGCAAGACATTAATTTTGACGTCCTGATACATCAAACTCTCCACAAATAAAACAGAGATAAGAAAATGCCTCACTGGTATATTATCACTTGGAATTTCATATCCATGTTTTTCTTTTATTGTTATATTCTCCTTTGATATCTTTTTTTCTGTATAAACGTGAAATGTTTAATTAGTGAAATTTATCACCATGGAAGAATTGGAACAGATTTTGATTACAAAGAGATGTATAGAATAGGAGACATTACCATATTATACAGTATACACCTTGTAGACACATTTATTCTGTATTAAATAGAAGGAAAATATAAAATACAGGTATGATTATAACAATATCATGAACAATGTAACAAAAATACAGCCAACAACATCAAAATCTCCAGGTAACTATATATATCATTGTTTAATCATTACTCCAAATAAGAAACTGATGTCTAATCAATATTTAATGATGAAAGATTTTATCATGTCTTATACTCCCAATTTTTCACTGTACTTTTGATTTTCAAGATTGCCCAAATTTTACAAATGACTAATTCATAATACTTCTTTTCATACAAATTAAATCGAATTCATACAATGTAATGTCTCATGGTATGCTACACACTTCATATTGCTGCTATTGTTTGAGATCTTTTAAAAACTATTTTGGTAATGGGTAATGCACATGTTCTTAAGTACCCTCCTGTACAATATTTTGTAATTAGTATTTTCAAAAAATCTAATTCAGTCTTAATCTCTGCTTATTTGCAACCCTCTATTTTGAGGGAGATTCCTGGTTTTAACACAAATCGTATATAATAAGACTGTCTAGCATTTAAACACATCATCAATTGTCAACCATTCTTTAACCTAATAAAAAAAAACCTAACTTTTCTTATTTCAAGATATTTATTATAAGGAAAGTACTTTTTTACTCATTTTCTGGTAGTACAATAGACAGGGCAGTCTGCAATATTTCTCTGTTAAAGATCTGTATAATTTACTTTTAATGTACTCTTTTTGAACAAGTGCAATCTTTCCCATGGAAATTTCAAATGCATGTACTATATATGCAGTTTGTTAAGATAAACTGCTCTTTACATCTGCTATTTTCTTCATATTTTGAACAGAACAGAACAGAATTGAGCTCTTTGCCATGAAAATTCCAAAAAGGCAGCCAGTCATTTACTTTGACTGGGGCTAATGGAATACATATAGTGTATATATGCTTCATATAATTCAACCAAATGCAACTCAACATACGTCCGTTTTTCTTTCGGTTTGTTTTTAACAATAAATCTGTACATGTGTAAGTTACTCCAAACAAACAAAGCCTGCTAAAGAAACAGATTTGTTCACCCTGCTGAACACCAACCATAACAAACCACCAAGCACTGGATCAGCAGCACACACAACACTCGTAACTCACATTAAATGAATTTAATTCAATCTTCGTTTCAGAACCCTGTTCACCCAAAATCAATACGAGTGTAGCGCAGTTGCCATCCATCTCTGTCACATCTTCTCGTCAAACGCTCCTTGGATCCAGATCGAGACTTTTATTGCGTATTAGACTCCCCGTCCTTCCAAATTTAATCAATAAGATATAGCATCTCTACAGACTGGTTTGCTGTGAAAACCCTTGTCCCAGTTAACAGGCTCCCAATTTAGATGCGAACGACCCATCAGAGCTCCGAGATTTGGAACACGCCTTCTACAATTGGGACATACATACATACATCTACCAGAAGACCCACCAACAAAACCTCCCAATCAATAACTAAACAAAGACAAGATGTTAAATGTAAATCTTATATGATCCTATGTCCTAGTAATATTGTGGATGATTCCCATATTCCAACTAAAACTTTATATACAGTATCACTGGTTTTTTGGAGATTTTTGGTTCTGGATTATCTTCAACATCAGGCTTGTTCACATTTTGAAATCACATTTATCTCTTGGTAACAAGAAAATCTATGTGCAGGTCTTTTTCCCTAAAACTATGACTAAAATTATCATACACAACACTAACTTTTTCATTTTTCTGTGGTACAATACAGCTTCTTTCAATCTCTTAGAAACGGTATATCTTTCAACTGGAGTCCAAAGTTTAAATTCCCCAAAAAATCAATTTTTATTTTGAAAAATCTGTGAATGATCCGATTTTCCTTACTGTATAATTATATATACACAGGGAAGTAGGAGAGAGGGCATTTTAGCTGCCAAGTATGGAACACAATATTGTCGCCTGAAAATTTAATGTTGAATCTGGGGAACCATCAAATATACTGTCACATAGTAAATGTGAACAAATACCAAAATAAAACATTCAGACATTACAAAAAAGTGAAATTTATGATCTCCTCAAGGGCAGTGTCATTTTTTAATGGCACACAGATCTGGCATATGCATTAAATGAGTTACATCTAATCCAATTTTATACTTGAAAAAGTCCACATAATGCAATACATATATTGCAGTTGCTTTTTGTTATTAGGACAAATTTCAAGACAATTTTGTACAGTAATTGTCAGTGTAACATTCTTCATACTACCTTCAGTTTTGCATGCTGTAGTGTTGCTTTCTCATACGTTTTTGTTAAAAAAAAATCTATTCTGCAATCCTTATCAAAGTTTTGATAAATCAATTCCTTGACAGATGACCTAAAATCCCATGCTGAAACAGGAAGTGAAGAAAGCAGTGTGTGTGTAAAATCAATATCCATTCCCTCCATCTCTAACTATATAATTAAAGTTTGGCGGGAACCTAGGCAGATTATCAGAAAAGTTGAAGACAAGCACTGGAGTGGTTCTGTCAGTTTTAAATTGGAATCTACGAGTAAGTACAGTCACAAATCAAATTTATGGTAACATTGTACAATAAGAAGAGAAATCTATAACCAGTGTTTTAGCAGTAGTTTTCTGATGCCTAACTTCTTTATCGATCGTTTTGTTTGCTTTACTTTGCATATCTAGATATATATATCAATTGGTTAGAACAAACAAAGATTATTGCAACATTTCATCTTTTTATCAGAAGATATACGACCCGTATCCGTCAAAGTTTTACAGTATCAACAATACTTAGTATTACTGATATTGAGCCACTATAGTAATTTGTGTAGAAGTATTATTTCTTATTAAATCTTTCCCCTTGAATTCATTCCTGTTTATAAGGTATTTGAAGTTATTACTATTTTTTTTCTTTTATATCATCAATATAACCATTTGATGGTTTGAGATCATGCACCTCTATAACTCCCAAGCAAATACTTTACATTTATACCATGTTATAATAACAGAACATATACATTGTCATAACTTACAATGCACTCCTGTTTATCTTAATGGACTTTGACATTTTGAGAACACTTAACATATACTCTTTGTATATACTGTTACCCAATAAGTTGTAAAAACTTATGGAGTAAACTTAACTGAAAATCATAATATTAGGACTTATCTAAGAATTTGTCAGTATTTTGAAAATAATATTGTGTCATTGCCCGAGCATTGATAAAATTCACCACAACAGTTGTATAACATAAAGTCTGTTTTAATATTGGATGAAATACATATGTCTATCATTCCAAGTCTGCAGCTAGTTGTCAGTCAACCATATACAAGGTCCTATCAATCTGTCACAAAGGATCCATGATTATGATAATAAAGTAAACACGAGTTATAAATTACATACAAGCCATTGTATAAACTGTAAATCATGTGCACATATATTGAATGTTTTGTATAGATTTTTGGAAAACCCAAACAATCACAAAGTAAATGCATCATTAAATCTAAGTTTAAAGAAACATTTCCCCTCCAAGACACAAGACACTGACAATGCACATGTGAAATGGGAAATAAATTATCCTAACCACATGTATATGCAGATTGTAAAGATTTTAATTATATCATAATAAAAATGTTTTTATGACCTTTTTACTACATGGCTCTATTTCAAAAATGTCTTTAAAATCATTATTACAAACAAAGACGGACTTGTTTAGTGGCATTTTTGTACTTGCCCTTTTAACTTCATAAAACATAATAGCTCTCTTCTGCTACTTTCGAAAGATATTTTTTTTATAAAATAAATTCCTGAGAACACTTTTACTTAATTACCTATAGCTTGTATTCCGAGAATCCACTTCAAGATTCACGACAGTAATATTGCTGTTAGTTGTAGAATTTAAACCATTCTTTTGTATTTTATCAAATTTTCCGCATGGAATATTTGATAACCATGTGATGTAACAAGTATATTTCAAAATGTCATATGCTGTCTTCAAAATGAAATTACATTTTCACAAAGGAAAATTATCATATGGTCTGTGTTTATGAATTTATTTAATGCAAGAAATCAAATTTGTTTCTTCCAATGATATCTTAATCAAGAAACTATGGTGAAGATTTGGAACAAAATCTATCAATATCATACCTATATTTGATGTGTTAATTACACATAATTTAAATAACACGGATGATTTTCACAATGACTTGTTTCTATCAAATTAATCAGAATACCATATATGGTATTTGTTGTGTTTAGCTTATTCCTATTTTTAACAATGTTGCAAGTAGTAATATTTACAACAAAGTTGCAATATCACATGCATGACCGCTACTCGGACCAATCAAATCATGAATGAAGTTTAGCTATTCACTATATCAGATACTAACAAGAATAAAACTAGTTTTGAGGAAAAGTAAATATGAATAAAGAACGTCTTGTGTATAGCGAGATGAAGGAAAGACAACTTCAGAAAAGCTCACCCGTTTTTTCTTTGATTTCGCATAATACACTGAATAATGCAGGTTTCATTCGATGACAGTTCAAGGTGTGTTTTCTGAAAAATCATAAAGAATAGGCACATCATTAATTTGCATATTCCAAATGGGTAAGAAGAATTACGAGAAAAATGCATGCATATCTTTCTGTAATGGTAACTGGGGGATGAAATTGAGAAAATTCACAGAAGGGGTATAGCTGTAATGTCATGTACCGGCACCTTGCTTGCGCTTCGTCTAAACTTTGGTCAGTTATCGTCATTATTTGTTGCAAAATGTCACCAATTTCCTGTTTTCGTTGTTCTGAAGGTTCTTGCCCTGTTGGTTGTAGATTATATTGTTGAATCATATTTTCGGGTCCCGACATACTAACAGCTCCTTGTTGCGGATGCATTACGCTGAGCCTTTGTGTATCGTCCATGATAATGACACAACGGAATTATTCCTTCCACTGACGTTTAAACATGGGAATTAATTACGTTGTTAATCCAAACACATAATCCGATTGTATGTCACAGTTTCCATAAAGCACAAATTCCTAAACAGTTCCGTAAAGTTGGGAGGGCTTCTACACACTGCCAGTCAAATTCCCTCAAAACAGAAATGGCGGCTCGACAAGCGTGAAACTAACTTGATTCTTTCCCGTCTATGGGCCATGAACCAATCAAATGTCTCAGAGTATCTACTCGGCAATCTCCGGTGGGTGATTGCGATCCGGATATAAATACTGACCAATGAAGAAGTGGGATTTAGTGACCGACTCTTCACGCCCTTGACGAAGATTGACAGCTCGGAGAGATGTTGATTAGGCAGACACAATAATTGTGAGGCACCTTAGGGGTCCAGGCATTCCACTTTAAGCACCCCATGGGGCAAATAAACTCCAATTAACAGGTATAACAGGTGGATCCTATCCTGGAGATAGCTGGAATATGACTGAGTGTTTGAAACGATTAATTTCAAACAGTATTACATTGCCGGGGGTCAAGTAAGGTCATATTATTGAACGAGTTCGTTATATACCATTTTAATCATGAAGAATTATTGAAAATTGAAAGACAATGTTATCTCTTTGATCACAAGTATGAAATAGTATCTAATAAAGGCGTAAGAAACCAAAATGGAAACTGAGAGAGTAGTCCGATGATTATTTATCCACTATTTTGTTTTAGTCTTGGTAAGACCAAAACTTAAATGACTACAGAGAGGGTTGGTCGTGCTATATCTTATCTGGAATGTATGCTGCGGGGTTTTTCATCCAGGTAACAAAAAGGTTCAAATTCTGTTTTTGGAACCTAGGGACATATACAACAGATCTGTATTGTACGTTCTTGCTTTAACCACAGTCCAAATAGCTTTGGAAAATAGTTGAATCTTCCACGAGTTTCCAGTTCATTTGAAATCGATGCAGTGAGTCTAAGAATGATTTAATGTTTTATGACAGATAAAAAGAGAGAAAGTATGATATGTTGCATAAATCGTATTCGTTCGTTTGCTGGCCTTATCGCCCCGTGAACAGTCAATGTCATTTAGATGCATGGTCGCCTTTAGTAGCTGATGGTTGCCTATCTGAAAACATACGAGAAACGTGTCGCATGTCACTCAAAGCAATTCAGGTAAAATGTTTTTACGCAAGGACACAACCATGCCAGCACAGACTGGTCCTTTTCTCAGCTTTCCGAGAAACTCAAACCAGCACGGAAAGCGTAGAACCAGGCACTTGAGTTCATTTAATCTAACCTTATACCGACTGAGCTAGCCAGGCCGCTTGCGTCGTATCTGAGATGTTTAATATATTGATCAAATATAAAATGAAAACTATTTATTATCCTTTCCCCTTCTTTCTTTTTTTCTTTCTTTTTACACGTTTTCCAGATAACGCAATCTTCTGTCGTTCTTGGAACCATCTCTTTGAGCATTTAATATGACGTCACAATGTCAACTGCATATGTTTGACGTCATAATGTAAATTCAAAGTATTTGACGTCATTTCATATTATGGTTTTATGACATCATACGTGAGATCACATGTAGTCAGGGCGATCATGTGATCAAACCAAGTGCAAGCATTTCAAATTAAAATTTTGGCCTGTCGCAGGCTAGAATGTAGGTTTGAACCAGAGATAAAAGTCCATCTGATTTTTTTTCAAGGGACCTGTGACCCTGTATGGCCTCAAATCGACTATGATATACAGACGTCTATATTACGTAACACAGTAAATCTAAATAATTTAGAATTGTGAAAAATTCACACACACACACACACACACACACACAAAACTATAGTTTCTTGCAATACAAATTAAGAATTAAATAGCCAAATAATGACCTAAACAGCAGTATACATCCTTATAGAAGCCATCAGTGGTGCAAGATATGTGAGGTATGGTTGAATCAGGGATTTAGTTATAAACACAAACGTATTACATGTGAAGATTTTCACACTAATGGCATTGAAAATCATGCTAGACAATTAAACTTTTTCATGAAAATTAAAACAACACAAACAACTGAGAACATGTAGTCGATTTATTTTATTTATCATTATACATTATATATTTTTCTCTTTTTATCAAATAACATTTAAGGTGTCCGAGGTTGCAAAGTACAACGCAGTTAACATTATACCTTCAAATACTTAGATTTACTATACATTTGAAATGTTGATATTATATATTTTAAAAACTCACTTGCCTTATTCGACTTTATAAGAAGCATAACGCAGTTATTCCCCTTGTATGACCAGACCATCCGCATTATACTTTAACTATTTTTATCGGATGTATATTTTCTTCCTTAAGATGACTTCTTCTGTGTATTAATTTCATGTTAGGGATGTTAAATATTTTGTCGATTTTTTTTCACGTCATCAGCTGTTCTGTCACGGACTTAGGTATGTCACAGTCCGTGGTTCTGTCAGCTATTACTACTCCAGCCTGCTATCAGTAGTAAAAAAAACTGCATTATGTATATGGTTTATGAAAACATGGTTGCTGCGAAAGATGAATAATGTTTTCTAGTTTTAACGGTTTAAATTTTTCAACAATGATTGACACACATATTACTTATTGGATGGAAAAACAAACTTAGAACCACGGACTCGGATATCTTTATCCAAGTGGTAGAACTTAATTCTTCTCCCAAGTACACACGACGTCAAATGATTCTTCGGAACTGGAAACATTTGCATAGAATGATAATGCTAATTAACATATATGGAAGACCAATGGTGAGTAGAATTATTAAAAGGTACGATTTGTGACGCCTTACATTGCAAACCTGTAGATATAAATTACCTCATTGTACTAGGTACATGTATGTGGTATCATACAAAACGTTTCAATGTAGTTTGATACAATCTTGGAAAATTTGTCATTTTTTTCGTTTCATATAATTTTGGACTATCAAGAGTATTTCGTCGCTTTTCTGTAAAGTAACACAATTTCTCTATAGAAGTTTTGCTTTCAGTAAGGACAACATCTAACTGTAGTAACATAGATTGTCTGATTGCGGTACAATGGTAATCAGATTGTAAATAAATGTTGATACTTTAAACTAATCGGCGGTCAGGTTTCCTCCAAATTTCTTATTCGTCCTGGGTACACTTTGGATTTACAACAGGATTTAGAATAATGTAAATAGCAAAGAAGAAGAAAGCACCCAACCGCAATAAGTCTGTCTTAGTTCAATTTCTACAAAGAAATTATAATAAACTATCAAAATTTGTAGGATCATTACCTAGCTATAGGGTAGGACAGAGAAATCCCCACAACAGGGGGGATTCTTGAATGTTATACCGATGTTTTCCCTAACTATAGGGTAGGACAGAGAAATCCCCACAACAGGGGGGATTCTTGAATGTTATACCGATGTTTTCCCTAACTATAGGGTAGGACAGAGAAATCCCCACAACAGGGGGATTCTTGAATGTTATACCGATGCTTTCCCTAACTATAGGGTAGGACAGAGAAATCCCCACAACAGGAGGGATTCTTGAATGTTATACCGATGTTTTCCCTAGCTATAGGGTAGGACAGAGAAATCCCCACAACAGGGGGATTCTTGAATGTTATACCGATGCTTTCCCTAACTATAGGGTAGGACTTGAATGTTATACCGATGCTTTCCCTAACTATAGGGTAGGACAGAGAAATCCCCACAACAGGAGGAGGTTCTTTAATGTTATACCGACGCTTTCCCTAACTATAGGGTAGGACAGAGAGTCTTAAATAGTCAGGGAATAGTAGGGCTGAAAAAGGACATCCCTGCTTAAATACAAGGATCACAACTTATCAGTCAGCCCTCGTATATATCAAACATCCCTCGTTTAGGTGACTCGAGTTAGCTGTCATTTACAGAATAAAGAAAGCCAATATGACCGAGATATATCCATGGATCTCGAAGTATGATAGATCTCAGTCCGTGACACTTCTTGACATTGTGAGATAATTTTAAAAACATACAGATGACCGTGGCAAAAATTTGTCAATGCAGGGACGGAGGGAGAGACGGATCACCACAGCTGATCGTGGTACCATTTACTCGTTTGCTATCGCGTGTTAATAGTTTTAGATATGAAAACCATGTAAAATGTACGGACTGACACTCCGATTATTAATCTGAATCAAAGTTATCAATGTCTCTTATCCAGAGATTGATAAAAAGTTATTTATTGTCCGATCCTCGCGGACCCGTTTCACGAATCTTTCCGGTAACTTTTCTTTAACAAAACCGTTCTTATGGACACTACATCAATTTTAGAAACTTTATTACATTTAAGTTTTTCTTAAGCTTACGTAATGCTCTTCTATATGAAATTAGATTCGTGAAACTCGGGCACTGTACACGTGCACGGACTTTCTCCGGTTGAGTATCCCAGAGATAAAAATACTGTGTCCTAAAGCAGATAATGTTAGAGACATTCCGAGACGATGGCATCAGTGTAAAGTCACGATGTATTCCAAATGTAACGTAAACACACCCTCACGTGTTTTACGTAATTTGTGAAGTTTTTGTCACGTGAAAATGTGCAGGTTCGTAAGGTGCACAGCAATGTTGATATGAATACCAGATAGCGGTAGAGGTAAATATGTTGTTAATGATGAACAGGTTTATCTGGGTCACGATTTACTGAGCAAAACATGCGAATGTAATAACTAACCGGTAGTTCAAACCAAACTAGGAACGAAACCGACTTCCGTGTCCACAAAGAAATTATGTTCGTGGTCATCCTACACAGCGACGAATTGAGATAGGACCTAGTAACACACATGACATAAGAATGAACCTACTATTAGAAACACGTCGCGGACAAATATTCACAGACGTGAAACGTGTGTTAAAGCTACAGTTAGTGATAAAATAGGTCACCGCATTTAATCTATTTGTACGACTAGTAAGTCAGTTACAGGGATTGGTTACACATGCAGTGATATATTATGAACCCTTGTGGGTAGGACTTGTCTTTCATAACATCAGCCGAATTTTTCTATTGTTGTAGGAGTAAAGTCCACTCTCTTGGAATTAAAGGTTTTAAATTATTACAGCTTGTTTTTGGGTAGATTTCATCCATCTTCGCAATGTTAGCATCAGATTCTTCCTCTGGGTTTCTATAGTTATGGGAGAGGTGGCTTGATTGGAGCAACTGATTTTAGATACAGAATTGTGCACTTCCTTCATCTGGCATTCTCAATAGCTGCATGACCATATTAGATCATGAAGACCAGACTAGTATACATTTAGCGACCTTGGTTTCCTCACAGATTTTACTGATTGTCATCCATCCTTCTTTATCTTCAGGCTTAATCTTGTATTGAGAAAAGCAATTGTTTATTTTAAACCAAATAGATGATAGACCATTGGAGAGAAGAACAAAAAGGAAAACACAAATGATCATTTGCTTACCCAAACTGAAAAATTATCTTCTGGTTACAGGAATTAGGAGATGTGAACAAAATTGGATGCCCTAGTTCATCAGAAGAAGACGGGTCTTGTTAAATAGTGTTCCATTGTTAAGCCAGTCTCCAGCCTGTACCCACACTGTAGTGGTGCAATGAGATAACAGTCTCGCAGACGTGTAACAATATAACATTCTCACAGGTGTGTAACAATATAACATACTCACAGGTGTGTAACAATATAACCATCTCACAGGTGTGTAACAATATAACCATCTCACAGGTGTGTAACAATATAACATCCTCACAGGTGTGTAACAATATAACATCCTCACAGGTGTGTAACAATAAAACATCCTCACAGGTGTGTAACAATATAACATCCTCACAGGTGTGTAACAATATAACATCCTCACAATGTGTAACAATATAACCATCTCACAGGTGTGTAAAAATATAACATCCTCACAGGTGTGTAACAATATAACATCCTCACAGGTGTGTAACAATATAACATCATCACAGGTGTGTAACAATATAACATCCTCACAGGTGTGTAACAAGATAACAGTCTAACAAGTGTGTAACAATATAACAGTTTCACAGGTATGTAACGAGATAACAGTTTAACAGGTGTGTAACAAGATAACAGTCTAACAAGTGTGTAACAAGATAAAAAGTCTTACACATGTGTAATGAGGTAACAGTTTCACAGGTGGGCAATGAGATATTTAACCGTATTCTAATACCAAAGTGATTTTTATCTGGTTGAAGGAAAGAAAAAGAATCCTTATATTGTACCAATATTCAAATCATCTTCCTATCACTTAAGCTACATTAAGATGGTCATCTGTATCCCTTATTACACATGTACATTTAGAGGTTTCTGTTGGTGTTGTTTAGAGGTAAGAACCTTAGTTGATAAGTGAGTTAGTAATGCCTTTGTCCACAATTTGTATTTATATAAGCCATGGAACATGTCAGATTTACTGTAAAGAATAACAAGTCTCACAACTCATGTTTTAATATTTGATGTTTTCCTTCAATTTTTTTATTTATTGTGAAACATGTTAGCAGAAGGAGATGCTTTAGGAGCTTTATTTGATGGTGTCTTATGAGTCATTAAATGTGTATAATTTTTACCACAGTCAGCAGAAGAAGATATCTAGCAAAGCCATGGCATCTTCAGAACGTGGAGATAGAAGTCATATAAAATATGACGTCCTTCCTCAAGGTTTGTTATTGGTGATGTGATTGACTAACACACTGTCTGACTAACAGTTCACTTAATTAACAACTTTTTGTTTTATGAGCTGTCCACTTACTTATCTAACAAAATTTCTACAGCAAACTGTATTTCTCCGTCAATAAGCCCATGGCTGGTAATAAGTCTCACCTCATGTACAACTACTACTAATCATTGACATTTTCTACAAGTGCTTTTCATTACCCTGCAATAAGCCCTATCCTGATTTTCCATATGTATCTCCTGGTCTTATTTCAGGGTAAAAATGCGTACCATTACTAATTTTGGCTGTGTTATCCTTAAAAATAAAGCCTTTCTCACTTTGACAACTTGGCATTGTTCTGTTTTGTTTTATATGTGTTATTGTTTTTACTCTTTAGTTCATGGCTGATTCTTTTGTAGTTCATGGCTGTATATTTTTGTATTGAATGTATGTAGTTCATCTTTCGCCTCTTTTCTTTTCAACTTTTCAGTGTTGATTTCTTTTTTATGACAATATCTTGTGGTTTAAATAATCTTTATTAATGAAATGTTCTGGTAAACTTACAGGGATTGGTCTTAGAGCATCTTTTTAAATTCCAGAGAACCAATCCCAACAGACTGGAGACGGTTTCTAGTAATTTATAACCGTAGGTATTGTCTACCAGTTTTGCCTTTTTTTAGTTTTAGTAAAACTTTGGCTTCATCAGGACATCAGTATTGTAAAATTTCTTTTGCCTCTAGGACCATCCATAACCAGCCCTAAAATGACTGAAGAAGGAACAGATTCATTCCAGTCTGTATTCTTGAAAGATTTATACACTAAAGAAATCTTTACCAACCCATAGAAGACATAGTAAACGTTACGTCAGCAGTGGTACCCTGGTTTACAGGGTTTGGCCATGAACTACACATTAAGGTTGATGGATTACATTGAACAGAGGGTTTTAGCTATGTAAGCATTAATACCACCACTGGTATGGTAAAGACACATAGATGACAAGTTTTTTAATTTGGCCATACTTGTGAGAGGCCCTTACCTCCTTTAGTACGACTTTGAACATGTACCACCCTACAATCAAGTTTACTTGTGGGGTCAGCAACACTGCTATACACTTACTTCCTAACGACCGTTTGGATAGCAAATTCAATAAACCAACCAATGCATTCTTGTACCTGCATTCTGCAATATATGTGGATTACAAAACGCTGAACTACTAGTCAAAATCATTGTCGACCATTTGTCATGACGGACATAATCATTTGTTGTATGACCGGAATTAATGGGGAGTGTATAGAGGTAAAGATAGAAGGTAATTTAAAGGATCACAGAACAATGGACAATTTATTTATGTGGAATGTTTTGTTTAATTACCACATCATAATGTAATATAAAGCTACTGACAATTTTTGTACCTTAGGGAAGAAATTTTACGATATTGTGTTCTGATGAAGCGCAAGTTTTAGGGTGAAACCAGTAGACAATACTTAATAAATTACTAGAAACTGCTTCCAGCCTGTTGTAACTAATTCTCCTGGTTTTTAGCTCTCCCTATCACATCAATTCACTGCATACCCTCTGGAATCAAGGCGGGAGACCTAGTACCCATCTACCCAACTTTTTATAGATAAGAGTTTTTATAGTAAACATGTATTTTATATCTTAGATTTAAGTTCCAGAAGTAAATATGTATTTTGTATCGTAGATTGATTCATGAATTAAAGAAAGTTACTTTAGTAATGTATCATTGATAGACTTAAAACAATTTACATGGTGATATATTTATGACATAAAGTTTTCTTATCATAATATCATTTGAAAATATATAAAATACATTGAGGGAATGATAAGCTGAAGTCATATTGATAACAGTAAAAATGATTAAACATTAAACTGTTTCATTCTGGCATTTATGGTCGTTATAAACGGCAGAAATTTTCATACAAGTGTACCATATTAAATGTGAATAATAAGATTTGAAAGCTTGATGAGACTATGTATGACTGATCACACAGTTAAAGAGTTCGTGATTGATTGAGTTGGAAATGAAGCTGCACCTTCAAGGGTTGGAATTATTCGTACACACGTACTGCTACAGTGAAGTGCAGCTTGTCTTGTTAGCTTCACTACTTATTACGGGGACTATAAATAGTGCTAGGAAAGTGCAAGGAAAAACAGAAACATCATCTGCATATGAAAACTAAGCAAGCTTTCTAAATCTGTTTCTATAATGTTACAATATTTATAAAAACTGTATGAAATCTTCCTTTAAATAAATTCAATTTCTGTGTAAGTAACTAGTCCTTGTGTCATAATAAAACAAAGCATTGACCAATAAGAACGACTTAAACATAATCAGCCTGTCAAATTCCCTATAAAGTTTGGTGGATTCTGTGATTAATGTTTAGAGTGCGGTCAGACATTTCAGCAGCTACAATAACCATGCAAACTATGGTTGTTACATATAGTGAAAATGATGAACAGGAATGTGATCTACCGCTGGAGAATCATGAACTGCTCTTGGATCATGATGCACCATGCCTAGGTACGTCCGGTCCCATGTATACCAGCTGGCTAAAAACTTAGTTGTCGTTGGTCATTTCAAATAAGTTGTACTTAAGATTAACTGTTATGCATTACAGTGTGTGAATACATTCAAACTCTCACTGTGTTATATCACTAATGATGGACATTTAAAACATAAACATGGTAATTACCTGTTAAACATCACCTCATTCATCTATAACAAGTTTTGTTGGATTATATCTCCCCTTTGTATGGAGGGAAACATATTTTATAAACTCCAGTTCTTCTGGTTCTGGTTCTTATCATAATGTGTTGTCTGATGAACAGTGTACAGCTATTTGGTCTCTGTGACCGTGACCTCAATGTCAAAGGTCAAATAATGTTTTATCATTCAGGGGATAGATTTCATGTGTTAAAATATTTGGATGAAAGATGCTGTATACCTTTATCATCTAATGACAAAGCAAAGTGCTCTGTCATTGGATTGACAAAACATAGTGCTCTGTCATTGGATCATTGCAATCTTGGTTGAAAGGTCAAATGTCAATTAAGTGCAGACTTTTTCAGTAAGATGTGTCAGTGAAAGTGGCTGTATACTTTCATTACTGAAAGTGTTTTATCATTGCAACAAATGACTTGGAATGAAGGTGACACATTGCTGTTGGTTCTTCCAGTTATATTTTGTTAGTGACATTTTATCTGGGACATAATGTTGAACAGTTATAGAAATATCTTGATGAAACTTCAAACATGTATTCATCACTCACGTCCACAGGTGATGTGCAGGGTATCAAAATTACTGGCAAGTCATTGCAACCTTCATTTTCAGGTCAAAGGTCAATTGAGAAGTATTCAGTGCCTAATTAAAGAGGAGGGGAAGTATAAGTTTTTGTGAACAATAAAAACAAAGCACATAATTGAGATTTGCTTCAGAGCAATAAAAAGAAAAAAAATCCTCATTTCAGTTGTGATATAATCACTTTAACCAAATACTAGAAACACTGAGATTCTGATGGATAAATTTATGTGTTCAGACTTTAATTAAGGTTTGTGAATTACATGTCATGTTCCTGTAGTCATGTACTATTTATAGTGTAGAAGTGTGATTTGGCATAAATTGTTCAAGGTGAGCTGAACACTGGACATTGAGCTCTATTTTGGACTATCACTACTTTAATTGATGGTTACCATTATATGCTATGCTGGACCGCCATCTCAGTTGGTGATTTACTAAATATGTCCCTAGAAGTCGTCTTTAAGTCTTGGTCCTAAATTGACCAACAAGTTTTCACTTGGAAGAGGTTGTTTAGGTCATGTCCATATTACTACCCATTAGTTTTCCCCTAAGAGAGGTCCTTTAGGTTATGTCCACATTGTGACTCACAAGTTTCACTTTGAGAGAGGTCCTTTAGGTCATGTCCACATAACTACCCACTTGTTTTTCCTTTGAGGGAGGTCCTTTAGGTCTTGTCCACAAACTGACCTAGTAATTTCCCTGAGACTGGTCCTTTAGGTCATGTCCACATCATGACCCATTAATTTTCGACTGAGGGAAATCATTTAGGTTATGGTCATATACTGATTACACTGCTGTTTTATGACAGGGCCATTTTTAGTGCTAAATGACAGTTTCATGAGAACTTCAATTAAATGATGTCACTGGCAGTGAAGTCTTCTTGTTACCTATAGGTAATACTTGTAATAATGAAAAATATTAATGGTTGTCAGAGTTATTTCCCTTGCTTTTCAGTCGGTATAAATCCATGTTCAAACAACATTTAAACAATAAAAAGTTAAACTATCATGATAATTAATGATCAGAAGAAAATAATTAGACACCTATCAAGGACTTTTCTTAATGAAATAATCTGATTGAAAAATGAAAAACCCAGGTTGTTATTTTTTTAAAGATTGCTTTGCCACACCTTCCCCTAACCTCTGGGAGCACATTAGGAACAGGTGACAAGGAAAGTTATCCTTACGCATACAATTATTAGCAGAGGGTTGGTAATTATAGATGCTTTGGAGATTTGTTTTGTGGCAGAATTTACAAGATGAAATTGACGAGAGATTCCAGAGGGGTCATAGCACTGCCCACCATCTTCATAAAATCCATGTAACTCTGATGAATTTTAAAACTCTTATCTTATTTCTGTTGGGTATGTTATTATAACATTTGAATCAAATCTAGATGTAGTATATGTTCAACTAGAATTATAACATGTATAATAGTTGTAATGTCTTCAAATATTAAACTCAAAATGTTAGTTGCAACTGTCTGGAAAGCCTCTTGATACTGTTGCCATGGAAAAAAAAAATCATATTTTCCCATAAGATAAAGAACAAATAGGAATAAAAAAGGAGTGCATGATCAGTATTTAGTAGTTTATCTGACCGAAGGAGAAAGCAAACGGTAGAAATATGTAATAGGAAAGCGTTGACTCCTTACTGGGGATCAAACTATGGCACCGGTGCTCTACTGGGGATCAAACTATGGCACCGGTGCTCTACTGGGGATCAAACTATGACACCGGTGCTCTACTGGGGATCAAACTATGGCACCGGTGCTCTACTGGGGATCAAACTATGACACCGGTGCTCTACTGGGGATCAAACTATGGCACCGGTGCTCTACTGGGGATCAAACTATGGCACCGGTGCTCTACTGGGGATCAAACTATGGCACCGGTGCTCTACTGGGGATCAAACTATGGCACCGGTGATCTCAAGGCCAATGGTCTATTTCTAGAATTTTAGCAAAATCTGCTGTAGACAGAAAAAATAAAATGACCCGGATTTTCAACTTATACACTACCTACCTCTTCAAAGTCAATACCTCCAAGAACAACCACATCACAGCTTCTCAGCTCCAACAATGCCTCCCTGTTATTTTCTAGACTTTGAGTGGTTAACAGCACCAGTTATATAATAGGAAAGCGTAATAAAAATGTCCTTCACACAATGGGGCTCCAAATATCAACTTTTCTCTCTCAAGGCTGATATCATTGTACTTGGCTAAAAGGGAATCCCACAAAAGTGACTTTTACTCTCTACTTTTATGTAGAAACTTCTTTAATCTGAAAGTGAATAAGTGAATAAGAAAAGAAAAATGAAAAAAAATGAAAAGAAAAGCAGAAAGACTTGAAAGTCAGTTTCCTCAACTGTTGATGATAATAGAGTATATTGGTTTGGAAGTCTGGCTCCAGGAGTTTAAGAAAAAACAAAAACTTGACACGTGGATGAAAGAATTCAATTTCACAAATATCACTGTATTGGATATAGGTACCTTTAGTATATAACTGCCTGAGATTATAAATGCCTGTGGTGTTTAGGAGATAAGGGTGGTTCTTCCCAACCTTTGGTCAGTCCTACGTTGTTTGTGCAGATAACGGGTGGTCAATAAACGACAGGACTTCAGCCATACCTAAGGTAAATTCAAACTTAATATCTGTGTATGATGTTTTATCATCCCTTGTTGTCATTATCAAAACTTATCACCAGATCAGATTACAGAAACTTTCCTTAAAAGGGAAAAAATGTTTTACTTAAACTGCTAAAGATGCTTGCTACTGTAATTTTCACATTTTCTTCGTTTCTCATAATTGCATATCGATGAATTTATAGGGAATTTTTTCTGGAAAATTGATAAGGCATTTATGTTTATCACCAGAGTTGTGTAACCATAAGTAGATTGTGAAAGTGTTGTTTTATTGTAAGATGCAATTTACTTGGCAGTGAAAATGAAGTTATTGTCCTTTTACTCCTATATCAAATAGCTTTTATTGTAATATATACTATAAAAAAGCAGAAAAAAACCCAAAAATTCTCTTAGTTTAAATTAGAATATGGAAACAAAACAAATGAAAACTAAGAAATAAAAAACAAAAGCAGTATATCTTCAATATGAAGTCTTTAATTTGATTACATGTATGATTTTCAGAAAAAATAAACATTGCTTGTTCATTTATTCATTTTTAATTGATTTGTTTTGTTTCACCCACCATAAAGAAATAATCTGTTTTGATTGGATGTGTCTCCAGTTTCTGTTTGTATGTTTTAACATGTTGAAAGTTACTCATCACATGATTCATATCCCTCCTTCCGGGAGTTCCCCTTATTTTCACTCCAACTTGTTTCAGTTGCATAATTTGATGCAGTATAAATATGCTTTAAGTAATAAATGCAGGTATGTGAAAATTTTCATCAAGCATCTCCACGTTTGATGTCCCAGAGAATGAAAGCATACTCTGTTATCTTTTTCTGATGTAACAGGTGTTCTCAGGTGTAAAGATATAGGACATAGCTCTTAGTAACTTTTGTATAACAATGTCCTTAACAGTGAGATCTGAAACTAACTATGTATTACAATGTTCTTAACAGTGAGACCACACACTAACTTTGTATTACAATGTCCTGAACAGTGAGACCAGACACTTTTGTATTACAATGTTCTTAACAGTGAGACCACACACTAACTTTGTATTACAATGTCCTGAACAGTGAGACCAGACACTTTTGTATTACAATGTCCTTAACAGTGAGACCACACACTTACTTTATATTACAATGTCCTGAACAGTGGGATCACCTCCTCATTGTGTAAAAAATATCAAGGAAAAATTTGTATATCTATAGTCACTATGATCATCATCATTTGGTCATCCTTTAATGTACAGTTTAAATATTGTGTACAGACATCCTTAGATGTACAGTTTAAATATCGTGTACAGATATCATGTATAAATATGTTTTTAAGTAATAAATGCAGATATGTGAAAATTTTCATCAAGCATCTCCACATTTGATGTCCCAGAGAATGAAAGCATACTACAGCTGACCTATGTCAAAATCAAGGAAAGCAATACTCTGTTATCTTTGTCTGATATAACAGGTGTTTTCAGGTGTAAAGATATAGGACATAGCTCTTAGTAACTTTTGTATAACAATGTCCTTAACAGTGAGATCAGACTCTAACTTTGTATTACAATGTCCTTAATAGTGAGATAAGACACTAACTTTATATTGCAATGTCCTGCACAGTGAGACCACACACTTACTTTTGTATTACAATGTCCTTAACAGTGAGATCAGACACTAACTTTGTATTACAATGTCCTTTACAGTGAGATCTGACATTAACTTTGTATTACAATGTCCTTTACAGTGGGATCTGACATTAACTTTGTATTACAATGTCCTTTACAGTGAGATCTGACATTAACTTTGTATTACAATGTCCTTTACAGTGAGATCTGACATTAACTTTGTATTACAATGTCCTTTACAGTGAGATCTGACATTAACTTTGTATTACAATGCCCTTTACAGTGAGATCTGACATTAACTTTGTATTACTATGTCCTTTACAGTGAAATCAGACACTAACTTTGTATTACTATGTCCTTTACAGTGAAATCAGACACTAACTTTGTATTACTATGTCCTTAACAGTGAGATTAGACACTAACTTTGTCTTACAATGTCCTTAACAGTGAGATCATGTCCTCATTGTGTAAAGAAAAAAAAATCAAGGAAAAATTTGTATATCTATAGTCACTATAATCAAGGTCATCATTTGGTCAGTAACATTGTGGGGGCTATTCTGACCTGTCAGTGTTCTAGTAATACAAGTAATAAGGACTGTAGGACCTGTCATAATAAACACATTTTCATTATTTCACACATATTGTTGTTTTATGATACTGTATATAGAAGTCCTAAGTACAGCCAAGCTGCTGTGTATATGTAGGCTGTGTGATAAACTTATTTGATATGGATATGTCGGATTATAGATATTTCAGAAGCTGATAAATCTTTGCACTGGTGATCTCTCCACACAGTATGTGTATTATTTATAACCACATCTAGTCATGTGGCTGTAATATTTCTTGTGGACGTAAATCTGCAACTACAACCACTGACATAAATCGTGATGGTTGAAATGAAAAGAAATGGATATACAAATTTTTCAGACGAAGAGGAACAGGCTGAGCAGGAAATGGCTGCAGCAGCAAAAGATGAAGAAGGTAAATATTTATCCCCAAGATATAGTGATTTTAATATACATAAATAACACATTTGTAATACCTGGTATATAAGTACCGATTAACCTTATGTAATTTTTATTTAATACATGTACTTGTCAAATGTTGACATTAGGAAACATCAGTTTACCAATATGTCTGTTTGAGTGTAGTTTTTAATAGAAGCTTTTGGAGAAGATTCTTTACTAATTCATTTCACTCAAAATTAGTGTCCGGTTGATTGATAGCATGGTTGGTCTGATGGAGTCCAACTACGAAGCTGTGAAAGCAATTAGGACATTTTTTGATGTCACTGCCATTTCATGTTTGGGGTATATACTTTTATCCTTTTCTGTCATTCCATCATACTGTGATAATGTTTTACTGATAATGTATTTTTCAGGCTTTAGATTTATAGAACTGTAATTTGATATAAGGTTTTGTAATGATAATCTGAAGGTCATGTTTTGATTTGACTTTCGTCAGAATTTTATGGTTTAAGTTTTTTTGCAGACCCGTCTTTATTTATAAATGGTAATTTCTTGCATGAATGTTCATGTTGTATCATGCTTTAATTCAATGTAATGATTTGATAAATTGTAGGCTGTTTTAATCAAATGTTTAAGCTTTAATATCTCTAATTTTTCTGTGGGGGCAAATGCAATTCAACAGTCAATGTCACTCTTAGTATAAACCAAAGATTGGTTTTTGCATAACATCTTATGTTCCATTTGGCTGCTTCCATTCAATGTGCTTGCTTTTGATTTTTCTTAAGGTCATCTGAAAAAGGCTCAGAATGGACCTATAACCAATATGTTTTGTCTGTCACCATGTGCTGTCTGCTACTTGCCATGTACTAACTTTTCACATTTTTAATTTCTTACTTTGTTTCATCAGAGGGATTCAGCTCATTATTGCCAGAATTAATTTTTAGATGATCTTGACCAAAAGTTGTTATTTTTCCCCACTTAAACTTTTAACACAGCAATCGTGGTGGTTATTTTGTAGCACAATGGGCTATCATAATTTTCCTGAATTAAAACTTTTTAAAAAGCTGTTTAGAACCTATTACAAACTTTACTCAAGTTCATCCTGTGAGATATAGCCCAGTATTGAAATGATCCTGAGATGGTCCTGACCAAGTGCAGTTATATATCTGGTTTGTACATGTCCAATATAGCCACCTGGGCTGACATCTTGAAACACTCATTAAATCTTTTCAAGATGCACAGCTGAAGTTTTGTGAGAAGTGTTTTTACCATAATTGCTAAAATGTTCAGAATGGCTTTGATCATTAATATTTGTTCATCCTACCACTAATGCTATGACATCTTTTATCAGTCTTTACAGTCAGAAGACTGTTAAGGCCCCTTAGGCCTCTTGTTATAAATGCACTTTAGTATTCAGCATACAGTTAATGTCAAGAAGATTTTCTTAGCAGAACGTCTAATGTTAATTTAATTGATACTTATGTGGTAGTATGTCGTCCAGTCTGGTAAAAACAACAGAACATGAAAGTGTTTTCCTTTCCTTCTTTGGCTACAAAATTTATAATTAATCATTTTTAAACATACAACACTGCCAGTGAAACCTTATCAACTTATTTTATGAGATAGGCTAGTGTTACATACATAGGTTATTCTTCTCCTGTTGTAAATGTCTAAAACACATGAATGTTTGGCTGGGTATGGGTTATGTGGTTAATGAAGGGAACATAATATGTGAGATTTTTATATTTTTTTTTTATCCAGCAAATGAAGGTTGGTGGACAACAATAACACCTTACAAGGTGTTTGTACTAGTGCTGCTGTTACTAGCTTTCCTGTTGAACCAGCTGGACCGTTTCATGCTTGCCATCACTAACAAGTCCATTGCTCAGGATATTCAATATGGAGACAAAGGCTGTATGATTAACTCCAGCTTCACCAAAGCAGAAGTTCATGGTATTAAGTGTGAGAACATTCAATCTCAATCAAAGTAAGCATCCTGTTATATGTGTGCCATGATAATATATAGTAGAAAGGTTACTTCAAGTCATTCAACCTCCTGTCTAAACAGATACATACTAATCAGCTGCTTTTAAAAACCTAAAATAGAAACAACAACTACCCCTAGTAATCCCCAACAGAAACAACAACTACCCCTAGTAATCCCCAACAGAAACAACAACTGTCCCTTGTAGTCCCCAACAGAAACAACAACTGTCCCTTGTAGTCCCCAACAGAAACAACAGCTACCCCTAGTAATCCCCAACAGATACAACAACTACCCCTAGTAATCCCCAACAGAAACAACAACTACTCCTAGTAATCCCCAACAGAAACAACAACTGTCCCTAGTAATCCCCAACAGATACAACAACTACCCCTAGTAATCCCCAACAGAAACAACAACTACCCCTAGTAATCCCATACAGATACAACAACTACCCCTAGTAATCCCATACAGATACAACAACTACCCCTTGTAGTCCCCAACAGAAACAACAACTGTCCCTTGTAGTCCCCAACAGAAACAACAACTGTCCCTTGTAGTCCCCAACAGAAACAACAGCTACCCCTAGTAATCCCCATCAGAAACAACAACTGTCCCTAGTAATCCCCAACAGAACAACAACTGTCCCTTGTAGTCCCCAACAGAAACAACAACTGTCCCTTGTAGTCCCCAACAGAAACAACAGCTACCCCTAGTAATCCCCAACAGATACAACAGCTACCCCTAGTAATCCCCAACAGAAACAACAACTGTCCCTAGTAATCCCCAACAGAAACAACAACTGTCCCTTGTAGTCCCCAACAGAAACAACAACTGTCCCTTGTAGTCCCCAACAGAAACAACAGCTACCCCTAGTAATCCCCAACAGATACAACAACTACCCCTAGTAATCCCCAACAGAAACAACAACTACTCCTAGTAATCCCCAACAGAAACAACAACTGTCCCTAGTAATCCCCAACAGATACAACAACTACCCCTTGTAATCCCCAACAGAAACAACCACTACCCCTAGTAAGCCCCAACAGAAACAACTACCTTTTGAAGTCCCCAACAGAAACAACAGCTACCCCTAGTAAGCCCCAACAGAAACAACAACTACCCCTAGTAAGCCCTAACAGAAACATCAACTACCCCTAGTAATCCCCAACAGATACAAAAAGTACCCCTAGTAATCCCCAACAGATACAACAGCTACCCCTAGTAAGCCCCAACAGAATCAACAACTACCCCTAGTAATCCCCAACAGAAACAACTACCCCTAGTAATCCCCAACAGAAACAACAGCTACCCCTAGTAATCCCCAACAGAAACAACAGCTACCCCTAGTAAATCCCAACAGAAACAACAACTACCCCTAGTAAGCCCTAACAGAAACATCAACTACCCCTAGTAATCCCCAACAGATACAAAAAGTACCCCTAGTAATCCCCAACAGATACAACAGCTACCCCTAGTAAGCCCCAACAGAATCAACAACTACCCCTAGTAATCCCCAACAGAAACAACTACCCCTAGTAATCCCCAACAGAAACAACAGCTACCCCTAGTAATCCCCAACAGAAATAACAACTACCCCTAGTAATCCCCAACAGAAACAACTACCCCTAGTAATCCCCAACAGAAACGACAGCTACCCCTAGTAATCCCCAACAGAAATAACAACTACCCCTAGTAATCCCCAACAGAAACAACTACCCCTAGTAATCCCCAACAGAAACAACAACTACCCCTAGTAATCCCCAACAGAAACAACAACTGTCCTAGTAATCCCTAACAGAAACAACAACTACCCCTAGTAATCCCCAATCAAAACAACAACTACCTCGTGTAATTACCAGCAGAAGCGAGAAGTGCCACAATAAGTACACTTCCAAACAGAAATGACTACTATCCTTTGCCGAATCTCTCTTGACCCATGAACAGAAACAGCAACTACACCTCCTGACCTCAGTTGAAATAATTACAGTTACTTCTTCTAACCCCCTACAGAAATGACAATTACCTTTCCTCGCCCACAAAAGAAACATTAACTACTCCTCTTAATCATGAACAGAATAAACAATTACACCCACTGACCATGAATAAAAGCGATTACCCCATCTAGCTTCTTGTTAATTCCTATGTTGTTTTATTGTTGTATGAATCTTATGGTGATATGGCAAAAATTAAAGCTAGAGGCATTTGGTAAGAAACCATTTAATATTACAGTGTTACCTTTTGTGTTAAAGCTGTACATCAACCATGAACAACAATGGCAGTGTGGTGTGTGAATGGAACTATAATGGCCAGGGACTGTTGTACCAGATCATTGCTGGTCCCGTCTTCATTGTTGTCTTCACCTTCTCAGGGATACTTGTTGGCTTCTTGGCTGACAAGTATAACAGAAAGAATCTACTGGCCATATGTTGTATGTTTTGGTCTTTGATGACGTTACTCATGGGCTTCGTACAAGACTACTGGCAGTTGGCTATTCTCCGCTTTGGTCAAGGATTAGGGTAGGTAATATTTTAAAAGGTTCTCGGGGGCTGTAGTAGGTTGTGTGAATGGATTCTCGGGGGCTGTAGTAGGTTGTGTGAATTGATTCTCGGGGACTAGTAGGTTGTGTGAATGGGTTCTGAGGGGGCTGTAGTGGGTTGTGTGAATTGATTCTCGGGGACTGTAGTAGGTTGTGTGAATGGATTCTCAGGGGCTGTAGTAGGTTGTGTGAATGGGTTCTGTGGGGGCTGTAGTAGGTTGTGTGAATTGATTCTCGGGGGCTGTAGTAGGTTGTGTGAATGGATTCTCGGGGGCTGTAGTAGGTTGTGTGAATGGATTCTCGGGGGCTGTAGTAGGTTGTGTGAATGGATTCTTAGGGGCTGTATTAGGTTGTATGAATGGGTTTTGATGGGGCTGTAGTAGGTTGTGTGAATGGATTCTCGGGGGCTGTAGTAGGTTGTGTGAATGGATTCTCAGGGGCTGTATTAGGTTGTGTGAATGGGTTTTGATGGGGCTGTAGTAAGTTGTGTGAATGGATTCTCGGGGGCTGTATTAGGTTGTGTGAATGGATTCTCGGGGGCTGTAGTAGGTTGTGTGAATGATTCTCAGGAGCTGTAGTAGGTTGTGTGAATGGGTTCTCAGGGGCTGTAGTAGGTTGTGTGAATGGATTCTCAGGAGCTGTAGTAGGTTGTTTGAATGGGTTCTCAGGGGGCTGTAGTAGGTTGTGTGAAAGGGTTCTCAGGGGCTGTAGTAGGTTGTGTGAATGGGTTCTGAGGGGGCTATAGTAGGTTGTGTGAATGGATTCTCAGGGGCTGTATTAGGTTGTGTGAATGGGTTCTGAAGGGGCTGTAGTGTTTTGTGTGAATGGGTTCTCAGGGGCTGTAGTAGGTTGTGTGAATTGGTTCTCTAGGGCTTGGTAAGGTTATGTAAATAGGCTCTTGGTTTGCACAGGGGCTCGAGGAAGTTGTGTGAAGGAGTAGAGGGTCTTGGGAATGTTGTATGAAAGGGTACAATAAGCATGAGGAAATGTCCATTATAATGAGGATGCATGAGGAAAACTGATATCATGGTATCATAAAATGTAGCAAAGTTATATTCAAAGGATATCTTATATAGGATGAGACGATGTCAGAGAAATAGATGTGAAATATTAACAATTGTACAGTGAACATGTGACATTTTAACAGTTGTAGAGTAAACATGTGACATTTTAACAGTTGTAGAGTGAACATGTGACATTTTAACAGTTGTAGAGTGAACATGTGACATTTTAACAGTTGTAGAGTAAACATGTGACATTTTAACAGTTGTAGAGTAAACATGTGACATTTTAACAGGTGTAGAGTGAACATGTGACATTTTATTAGTTGTAGAATGAACATGTGACATTTTATCAGTTGTAGAATGTACATGTGACATTTTAACAGTTGTAGAATGTACATGTGACATTTTATCAGTTGTAGAGTGAACATGCTACATTTTATCAGTTGTAGAATGAACATGTGACATTTTTTAAATATTTCAGAGAAGCAGGATGTACTCCTTTTGCAGCCTCCATAATAACAGACTACTTCACAACAGAGACACGAGGGCTGGCAATCGGTATCTACAACTGGGGCATCTATATGGGATATAGTCTTGCTTATGCTTTTGGCAACTTTATTACACTTGCTGACATTAATGGCCAGGTGAGAGTGATAAGTGTCTTTACTGATTGTACATACACCAGAATAATCTCCCAAATCAAGATTCGGGAATAAAAGTCACAAAATATAACACTCAAGTGAGAACGCTGTATGAATTAGAGCATTAATTGAATAAAATCACCCTCAGATTGAAATAATTTCTAATTAAAATTCAGCATTATAAGAGATTATAATAACAATGTTTAATTTGATATCTTTTATGGTTCTTCAAAGGGATGGAGATGGTCATTCTTTTTGTCTGGAGCTCCAGGAATACTCCTTGCTATCATTATATTCATATTTCTGAAAGAGCCTGAAAGGAAACGAGACACCAAAAAGGGAGATAAGAATGCTCCAGTAGCAGAGTTATCGGGTATCGAGAAATTGAAAAAACTTGGACGATATTTCATAAGTCCATCTGTAATTCTGATCTGCTTAGCAGGGTCTATCAGAAATGCTGGTGAGTAGAGCATTTGGAGGTCACTCGTTAAAACTAATTGTCTATATCCTAAATCTTTGAGTTGAAAGTGTTTAAATTCTTTTTATTTTATCTTTCAAAGAGCAAGTATGACCATGCCTTGCAATTGTGCCCATGTTATCTTATTTAATCAACATATCTTGTTGACCTTTTAGTTCATTTTATGTTATTTTCATTTGGATCGCCGTGCCTTTCACTGGTTGATGGCCGTTATAACCTTTTATGTGTTGACAGGCCATTAGGAATGTAATAATAACAATTATTGTAGATAGCTACTGTAAAATGATCAATTTTTGTGGGGGATTTATTTACATTTTCATGGGTACTTTAAATCCACAAATTTTTGTGTTCACAACATTATTCACATTGATTATATTATTACTGGATTTCGTGAGCAAAATTTATCCACAAAATCAAGTGTCAGTGAAAGTGTATATTTTTGATAAACCACAGAACTTAGGTCTGACAAAAATTAATGATTTTATAGGCACAGATACAGGGTTATGTAAGCTTTAAAGCATGAGTGAATCAAGGTCATTCAAAGTTGTTCAGATAAAAGGCTCCTTGACATAATTTCAGCATTATAGACTTGGGTCAAATGTGTTCTGATTAATCTTGAGATCATGAAATCATGATATTTGGCCAGCTGCAGTAGCAAGCTGGATAGGGAAGGTATAAAGTTTGGAATATGAATAAAGCCCATTGGACCTCTTGATACAAAAATGTCTTGGGAAGGTTTTTGAATTAATGAAATATTGTTATAAGTCAATTATTAACTTACTTACATGGTTTTCCCTCAATAATAGTTAAAGATTTTGGGTCAGCAATAATATACTGTATGTAGGTCATGGGTGTGATTGTCACCTGGGGCTAGAGAGACGGTGCACAAAAGTGAAAGGGGAAATAATGCTAATCCCTCTCATACTGTGATATTCAGCGATTTTAATTATGCTTTATTCACGGTCTATAAATATAGTGTGAAATTTTTTACAGTGAATCAAAATCATAGTACCAATGTGTAGACATATTTGAAATTTAATACCAGCGAACTTGACCAACTTGGGGCATCTGTGAAATATTAGCTTCTCGAAAGTTAACAACTATACAGTACTAGTAGAAGAGAGTGGAGAATATAATACCAGATATTTAATATTAATATTCATTTCTTCATATTAAAAGCACTGTTTACTGGTATAATAAAACCAAAGGGAGGGCTTTTCACAAACCCCAGGGCCAACACTTTGCCTCTGATTCAGAGTCAGTGGAGGGCTTATCACAGGCCTCAGAGGGTGAACACTTTGCCTCTGACAGTTACAGGAGAGGTGAACACTCTCAGAGTCAGTGGAGGGCTTATCACAGGCCTTACACTTTACCTCTGATTCAGAGTCAGTGGAGGGCTTATCACAGGCCTCGGAGGGCCAACACTTTGCCTCTGATTCAGAGTCAGTGGAGGGCTTATCACAGGCCTCAGAGGGTGAACACTTTGCCTCTGATTCAGAGTCAGTGGAGGGCTTATCACAGGCCTCAGAGGGTGAACACTTTGCCTCTGATTCAGAGTCAGTGGAGGGCTTATCACAGGCCTCAGAGGGCCAACACATTACCTCTGACTTACAACCAGGAGAGGGCTTATCACAGGCCTCGGAGGGCCAACACTTTACCTCTGATTCAGAGTCAGTGGAGGGCTTATCACAGGCCTTAGAGGGCCAACACATTACCTCTGACTCATAGTCAGGGAGTTGAGGTATCACAGGACAATGGAATTTCTTTGGTTTATGACTTGAACTTATTCATGTATACACTTATTACTAACAGGAGCTTATTGCCATGCTCATTCATTTTGTAATAAGCCTATGTCTGATATGAACATTTTGCAGAGATGAAATTGTCTTGTAATATTCCTGTCTCCCTGCTTTGAGTCAGGGATTAGGACTGGCCCACCCTCTTCTCCTTGAACAAAACAAATATGGCACTTACTTGTAGTTATTGTATAACGGTGTTATATCAAAATATCATTTGCTTATGCATCTTTGATGATTACTTTATTTCAGCTGGATATGTGTTTGCCTATAGTACACAGAGATACTTCACACTGATTGGTCAGACTACAGAACAGATTGGCACCTGGATGTCATGGATACCACTTGTTGGTGGTAGTCTTAGTGTGCTTGTGGGCGGGTTTATTGCTGATCGAGTTGTCAAGAAACGAGGATTGTATGGACGAATATTAATTATATTCGTCAGCTTGGTAAGAATGTGTTGTTAATAGGAAGATATAATGATATTTACCAAGACAAGTATTGTCTGTGAATTGTTGAATGATATAAAAGAATTAAGAACAGTCAATGGCTGACATGTAGGACTAGAAAATTTGGTACCACTTCAGTGAGAACCCCAAAAGATTGGGTCTGGAATTCATTCTAGTTGTAAACCAGTGTAATAGTTATGCTATCAAATGTTGAAATACAATTAAAAGTGGAAGTGTATTATTTGATGAGGTATGATAATCCTATTTCTGTTCTATTTTAGATTGTAGCATCACCTTTTGCTGCCGGTACCCTTTTCTTTGACCCTCCAGCTGCTTTTGCCTTCCAGATACCTACATATTTGTTTGGTAAATTATCTATCAAAGTTTTAGAATCATGCAATAATTACTAAAGTATCTTTAACCATAGCTTTGGTAAACGTCTTGGTATGTAAACATACTGTTATATCATATTTGTCAGCTGAAAACTGTCTGAAATGTTACACTTAGTGGTTTTTCATGCTTCATTGTACCTTATTCACTGAACAAAAGGTTCAGAGGGCCAATGTGATACAAACTTAAGCTGGGCTGGGCAGGACAGTGAAATAGTATTTGATTGTAATTCTACTAAACAGCGATAGACATTGATGGGCTTATTATAGGACAATGAAATATATTATTTGTTAGTAATTATACTGCACAGCAAAAGATATGGGTGGGCTTATTACAGAACAGTGAAATAGTATTTTATTGTAATTCTATTAAACAGCAATATATATTGGCGGGCTTATTACAGTAGAAAAACAGCAACATATATTGGTGGGCTTATTACAGGACAGTGAAATAGTATTTGTTGGTAATTCTGCTAAAACGCAATAGATATTGGTGGGCTTTTTACAGGTGAAAAACAGCAATATATATTGATGGGCTTGTTACAGGACAATGAAATAGTATTTGATTGTAATTCCTTCTAAACAGCAATAGATATTGGTGGGCTTATTACAGGACAATGATATAGTATTTGATTGTAACTTGTCTGATTCTTTATGTTTTCTACTGATGGTGCTGAATATTTGTTTCCTTTATATGTTCATATGACTTGACCTTTATAGGTGAGATGTGGATCGGAATCACGTTAGCTGTAATCGTGGAGCTGATGCCTGTGGACATCAGGACCACAGGTGTTGCCCTCTACCTGTTCATTATCACAAACATTGGAGGAAATGTGCAATTACTCATACCCAGTATACGGGAAGCATTTGAGTCTCACGATTACTCCAAGATACAGGCTTGGAGAGGTATGTATTTCAGTCAGTTGCCTAAGAATCTGAGGCTGGAAGAGTATGAGTCAGTAGTTAAATTCATTCAAACCTGTAAACAACCTCTTTTTACCAACCAAAAGGCCCAGAAGCATATCTGACTGGTAGGTCTAAGGGAGGAAATTCAACAAAGTTTGCAAAAAGAAGTGACCTTGATCTATATTCAAGATTCAAGTATGAATCTTGACAAAGTTTGCAAGAAGAAATTACCTTGAACCATATTCATAATAGTCACAGGGTCAAATTTGTCAAACTATAAAAGGTTTCTTCTAGTAAACCAAAAGTCTGAGAAGTATGGTATATGTTGGAAAGGTGTTTCTAAGTCATTGCCCAACACATTTTGAGAAAAAAGAAAAAGAAGAAGAAATGATGTTTACCTCTAATCCAGGTCATAACTGCAACTGTTTAGTGCTGGGTGTTAGAAGCTTACATTTGTTGTGGAAATATGTTGAAATTGATTGGATAGGCACACTTTAAATGCCAGTAGTATATGTGTCAATGTATTTGTGATCAACAGCGATTGCATTTTTGATGAATGTTTAATACCAGGTGAGTGGTGAAGTGATGTGACCTGCCATGTAGATGAAGACGTTGGACTTGTGACCTTTGACCTGTAACTTTTGATATTGTACTTGTGACCTTGACCTGTAGATTAAGAAATTGGACTTGTGACCTTTGACCTGTAGATTAAGATGTTGTACTTGTGACCTTGACCTGTAGATTAAGATGTTGGACTTGTGACCTTGAGCTGTAGATTAAGATGTTGTACCTGTGACCTTGATGTGTAGATTAAGATATTGGACTTGTGACCTTTGACCTGTACCTTTCGATATTGTACCTATTACCTTGACCTATAGATTAAGATGTTGTACTTTTGACCTTGAGCTGTATGACAGTGATTTTGTGTTATACATTAATATAGTGATCTCTTCCATGGTGTATTTGACCTTTAACCCTCTGTCTTATTCCAGCCACACTGTACATTCTGTACCCTGGACCTTACATTTATGGAGCTCTGGTCTACATTTTGGTTTTCTTTGTGGTCAAGCGTGACCAGAAACGTGCCCAAAGCAGCAACTATCATGAGATGTCATCAAGCGGAGAGCAAAAATAGGAAGCCATCATATTTGTCAGCCTCCTTGAATACTATATCATTTACATTGTATCAACAGAGTCAAAGTACTGTGATATGTATTATTGAAGTCTGATAGCAGACCAGAAATATAAGAAAACATTTGTCTGACTTGTCTTCCCATGAGTGTTGTTTTGTATGGATTACAAATTTTATATGTGGTGAATGAAGTTGATGTATCCATGTGTTACATTTGTTGTAACATGTAGGGACTTTGTCTCACATTATTTATATATTGCTGATGTCACCAATGTTTTTGTTTTGTTGAATTTGTCAACCAAGTAGAAATATTTGCCACAGTAAATATGTAATTCAAATATTGATGAAAGTAAATTTGCATTATGCTGTTATGAATGGTGAAAGTATCTGTGTATATGTATTATTGTAAGGAAGCAGTGATTGAAGAAAGAATGAGTTCTGTCAGTAAGATTTTGAAAAAAACCTATCGAGTCTTGAGAGATGCTATCATTGCTTTAAAAGAATGGTGAGGTAGAAGAAGAGGTCTGTGATAGATCTTTGTATAATCCTTTTAGTAAGAAATATCTTCATAGTATACTTTGAAGAGTTATGTGAAGGACTTTTTATTCTGTGTTTCTTGAATATTTACCAAATTCCAAGTATACCTTAGAAATTAGAAAACAATATTTCACAATAAAATCCACTCTTCAGAATTTCATTCCAAATAAAGTCAATTATATGTAATTGAGATATTGGATTATTGACAATATCACTAGTGACCCAGTTTTCTTTATAGTTTGGTTACATTGTTGTATAACCATTGGTTACCTTGTTGTAATCCTGCACTATTGGTTGCCAGGGAGCACTCTGATCTACTGCGTTCCTCAGTGGCCATGAAATAGTATTGTATGTTACCATGATCTACTGGGTTACCATTGGGTACTGGTGATATCCTGGTAACTATTGGTAACCTGATCTCCTGACCAAATGTAGTGGGTACCTTACACACTTGATCTACTGGTTCCTATTGGCAGCCAATGGGTAATCTGATCCCCATATATAATGTAGTGGGTACCAATGACAATATATTGGTTGCCATTGGTAACCATTTGTTTTGCTCGTGGTTACTATGGAGTACCAATGATAATAAGTGTATGATCTCTGACCTGTTGTATTTTGTCTCACTAACAGAGACTTATACTCTCTACATTTGACTTGTTGAAGAATGCATTTATTTTTGAATATTGTAACATAAGTGATATATATATAACTATTATATAGAGTGATGAAGAAGATATATTGTGATGTGTTGAATAAAGTATTGTGATATATCTTCATAGATATGTCTTCAACGTTTTTTATAAGTGTTAGAAAAAACAATATTTTACCATATAAATGGCAGGGGTTCACATATATATTGCCTCCTACCTCTTGATTGGGAAAGAGTGTATCTTTCCAAATCAGCCTTAATTCACTGCTTAAATATTAATATTTCCAAAAGTGATCAAATGCAACCTTTGACCCTTTAACCTTGACCTACAGCGACCATAACATAAAAATACATAAGACATGATGTTAACATATAGTGGTACAATATACTCTTAATCTGCTGACAGATTTAACATTACTAGATATTTGTTACTTCAAAAGTAGTCATGTGACTTCTGACCCTTCAACCTTCATCAATGACTTGTTGGTATAATGTTGAGGTGTATAGTACACAAATTTGTTACTACAAATTCCAGTATATATCACAAACTGAAAACTTTATGAAGTTACATCTTTGGTGATTTAAGAATTAAGCAAGAAAACAAAGAAATGATCAATCAAGTGAAATTTGTTTATTTTATATTTCGATCATGATTTTCCTTACAGGAACATAAAAATTGAAATAGACATCAAAATTAGATGATTTAGTGCTAAAAGCAGTAACATGTAAATATCTTCACAACAACAGCAGTGTTAAGGGCATCATACACAACAACAGCAGTGTTCAGGGCATCATACACAACAACAGCAGTGTTCAGGGCATCATACACAACAACAGCAGTGTACAGGGCATCATACATAGCAGCAGTGTACAGGGCATCATACACAACAGCAGTGTACAGGGCATCATACATAGCAGCAGTGTACAGGGCATCATACACAACAACAGTGGTGTACAAGGCATCATACACAACAGCAGTGTACAGGGCATCATACACAACAACAGCAGTGTACAGGGCATCATACACAGCAGCAGTGTACAGGGCACTGTACACAACAACAGCAGTGTTCAGGGCATCATACACAACAACAGCAGTGTACAGGGCATCATACACAACAGCAGTGTACAGGGCATCATACACAACAACAGCAGTGTACAGGGCATCATACACAGCAGCAGTGTACAGGGCATCATACACAACAACAGCAGTGTTCAGGGCATCATACACAACAGCAGTGTACAGGGCATTGTACACAACAACAGCAGTGTACAGGGCATCGTACACAACAGTGTACAGGGCATCATACATAGCAGCAGTGTACAGGGCATCGTAAACAACAGCAGCAGTGTACAGGGCATCGTACACAACAGCAGCAGTGAACAGGGCATCGTACACAACAGCAGTGTACAGGGCATCGTACACAACAACAGCAGTGTACAGGGCATCATACACAACAACAGCAGTGTACAGGGCATACATAGCAGCAGTGTACAGGGCATCGTACAAAACAACAGTAGTGTACAGGGCATCATACACAACAGCAGTATACAGGGCATCATACACAACAGCAGCAGTGAACAGGGCATCATACACAACAGCAGTGTACAGGGCATCGTACACAACAGCAGTGTACAGGGCATCGTACACAACAGCAGTGTACAGGGCATTGTACACAACAACAGCAGTGTACAGGGCATCATACACAGCAGCAGTGTACAGGGCATCAAAGCAGTCCACAGATACTATGAACCAAGTTATATTACATGGAAGTAACACAACAGATAGGCAGGCATGACAAACATCTGTAGAGTCCAATCTCACTATACTTCTTGACAGTGTAATAATGACACATTGGCTATTTCATTAACTGAAGTAACACATCCCTCTTGGATGTAATCTCCTGCTAATGTTTATATAATATCTGCACCACTTGAGTCTCTAATGGTCAGAAGAAGACTAATTTGTACATATTATATACAAGACCAGCTAATCTTACCAATATTGCTGCAGTGTAATTCCTTTTTCTTCATCAATGACATCATATTATATATAATTACCACGCAGTTCTCGGACATTTCAGCTCTTTGTGTTATCAAAGATTACTGAGCCTAACATCACCAATTCTAAAGGTGCTGAAAAGTGTATCCAGTGTGTATAAACTTCAGATTTTGTGAGTGAACAAAAGTGATTTACACGTATATGAATAAAAAATTTGGTTCATAATTGATTAAAATGAATGAAGTCAGAGAAAAACTTCCAGAAATTGTCTTAGTTATACAATACCTCGGTGTCAGTCCATCATTGTGAATGTGTTTTGTACAAATGTTTGATCCAGGAATCATGAGTATATCAACAGTAAGGTAGGACAAAATTTGATCAATATCAAATGAGCTATCAGCAAAACTGATATGAACAAAGGGAAACCCCACATAACTGTACTTAGTCATTCTTATCTTACTATTTACCTTATGACAGGTACTATTAACATCACAGTACATGCATTGAAGCTGAACAGAAATACAAAAAATATGACATTGCAAAATTAGACTTTGTGTTTTAATAATATCAGTGACAATGACCCTGGATGGGGATGTTACTACAGTAGACAATTTAGATTTCATCAAGATATATGTCAGCACTTAAACTGACAAAGTGAAAAACTGAACACAACAATGAGTATAAAACACTCATTCACATTTCTGATTCAGTGCAATTAATGAAACATTGTACATTGTAGTTGAAATTTACTATCTATAAACAAAGGTTAAGGTGTCCTTTTTTGGGTAGAACCTTACCTCAACTTTGTGATTTGCCTGTAAACAGTATGGAATTTGGCTCAACACTGATGTTAACGAAGAATTTATTATTGCATTGTTAGCCTGCAAAGTCCAAGTCATTTGATATGCAATTTTTGCAATGGAATATATATATTGTTTGCATTGCTTGGGGTGGGGGGTTTAATGGTAAACAAAACAAAATTTTATCAAAAACTAGCTACAGGTATCCTTACACACTGGTCAATACCAAAACCAGTGAGAGCTTGGTGTAACAGCTAGGACCAAATAATCAAAACACTGATAAAAACAAAAAACATTATGTTGCATCATTTCACATTAATGAAAAAATCAGCATGTCTCCACATTCTTCAGACTTAAATTCTGTTCTTTCTAAACACATTTTATTCAGATATTGATAATTTCTTGTTTCTGAACTTACAGCTTGACAATATCAAAATTCAATTGCTTTTTCACCTTATTTGAAAACCGTTAAATTCGGTTATTTCTTGAGACATGACATTTGCCGTAAGAGAAATTCCTTACAATGTTTACAGTCAAAGTGAAATTTTACTGTTCATGGTTCTGATGTTTACAGACATACCAATTCAGTTGTTTGCAATCCAATGTGTGCAAAATACAACTGTATCTCTCACTTGTAGGGAAGTGACCATGATTTTGTTTTCATAATCAACTTTGAATTAAGTGTTTTTAACCAATGACATTTTTTGATATGTACATTCAATAATAAAGCATCAATATCTTAGGGAGACTTACATACATTGCTCACATAACAAGTCCTTTTATTCACTGAACAACAATTAAACACATGCACATACAAAATGGGATCTTTTCAGTATAGAAATAAAGTCAGTCTTAAAACATTGAAATATTTGAAAATCTTCCATGGATAATTTGTATTGATCAGCAAATCCAACTGTCAAAATTTTGTTTACTGGCACACAACTCATTCATGACATACTAAAATACATGTATCTGTTATATTGAACATACCAAGTGGTGTGTTAGGTTCTGTGTTATTAATCATTGAAAACATGTTTTTCTTATTGCTGGAAATTATAAATAAATAATTATATAAATGAAAAATGACAGCAGGTTTTTCATCAGCAGTAATGCATAAACCCTAATAAAATAAGCAGATAGGTAAACTAAGCTGAAATAGCAGATCTTTTTACCTTTTTTTCTAAAGTTACACATGTTAGTGAAATATTCTAATTTCAAATCTGAACTTAACTCCTAAACTATGAAAAGTTTGTACATACAACAATCATAATGTTCTTCCTGGAAAAATGAATACTTAAATATTACTTAAGGAAGTCTTTATTGTAGTAACCACTGACGTGCTGGATCTCTGTTTACAAGTAATCAAACATTTTTTCTAATCAGCTTCACTCCTTCATGTTATAATGAATGATGCCTCTAGAGTTTTGAAGGTCACCTTGACTGCGTGTCTTGTGTTCCTGCTCGCCATGGCTCCTCAAATCTGTCATGGGGGAGTGGTGTACAGTGGGTTGTATCAAAGTTCTTAAGGTGTTTGCTTGCCTGTAATAACAGAGAGTATCACAATTAGATTCTTTTCTTTTTAAATTAGATTTTTTTTACAGACCAAGTGGCTAAAACTGAAAAACTGGAGATCTACAATTTGTAAGTCTTTCATGAACTGGACATTGTTGGTTATATTAAATTAAATCATGTTTGTTCATCATATTACAAATTCATTTCAAGAATAAAACACATTAAAGTGAAAATTGTATGATTAATTTTAGAAATTGACAGTTTGGAGCTAAATTTTACACTAAAAATTGTCTAATTCAAATTCCAGTCCAAAACTTGAGAGTTGAAATACAGGTATGCAATTAGTATGTAATATTACAATGTACATGTACTAGGAACATAGTATAGTGTACTGTATACAAGGTTTAATTATATGTGTACTAGAACAGTATATACTTACCAGATATAAAGCCATTTTCTTTTTGTAATCTTCTGAATAGTCAGCTCCTGTGTAATAAAAACAGGACAGGTTAGTAGAATCAAATAATCCCGTGGTTCTATCAGAAAAGGCGGGATTAATTTGTCTTACCGGCACGCGGGATCAAGTAGCAGGTGCAGTAGCTATAGGCTGTAGTCGGGCACACGCGGTGGTAGAGTCCTATAGGAGGACATTCTCTAGCCGTGCGCTGAGCAGTGTGGATATAGTTTATTTTTTTTGTTTTTGTTTTTAATGGGAATCGTAGCTTTGACATGTAGTAGCGGGCATTGCAGCGTTTGAATAATGTATTTTACAAATGCATGGTATAGTTTGAGTAGGAGTAACGCCTTTCCGTAGATACATTATGTAGCTTGTATCAATATTAACGCAGGTCCAGCGTTACGCCTAGGCCATCCTGCAGTGGGATATAATTGTTTCCCGCCAAATCGGACACAGATTTCCAGCGATTATCGCCGGTTTTTTTCTGGGCGGCAGGCTGTGTCGTGGACGGCGAGAGATTAAAGGAAAAGAGAATATTTCACATGTACATTATCGGGCTGCATCAGATTTTTTATACTGCTGAACATTGTTTCGTTGAACATTAAATGCTGACTGCACTCTAGGCACACGGGCTGGTACGGCAAATTGTATATTTGTGTTTGCGTTGTTTTTTACTTGAGACGTAGAGGAGAGAAGACCAGTAGGTATCAGTATGACAGCGGTATAAACCTCACCACATAAAGCCTTAATTTAGTATACACAAAGAGCTATTGGCCCAATAATGCCACACCTGGCTGGGATGCAAGCACACAAGGAGTCTTACTGTGGTAGGAAACCAGAGTGCTCAGGGAAAAACATCTGTGTTCAAGCAGGTACCCCAATTTTTTTTATTCGTTTTGGGAATTGAAACATGAATGTCTAGGTGAAATGATAGTGTGTAACCACTGCAACATCTGACCATCCACCTTATTTGAAATCAGTAAACAGACAATAGGAATGTATCAGAGACATTGTCTGTGTGGAGGAGGTAAATGATACCAATTTGAGATGGGAATGTATCAGAGACATTGTCTGTGTGGAGGAGGTAAATGATACCAATTTGAGATGGGAATGTATCAGAGACATTGTCTGTGTGGAGGAGGTAAATGATACCAATTTGAGATGGGAATGTATCAGAGACATTGTCTGTGTGGAGGAGGTAAATGATACCAATTTGAGATGGGAATGTATCAGAGACATTGTCTGTGTGGAGGAGGTAAATGATACCAATTTGAGATGGGAATGTATCAGAGACATTGTCTGTGTGGAGGAGGTAAATGATACCAATTTGAGATGGGAATGTATCAGAGACATTGTCTGTGTGGAGGAGGTAAATGATACCAATTTGAGATGGGAATGTATCAGAGACATTGTCTGTGTGGAGGAGGTAAATGATACCAATTTGAGATGGGAATGTATCAGAGACTTTGTCTGTGTGGAGGAGGTAAATGATACCAATTTGAGATGGGAATGTATCAGAGACATTGTCTGTGTGGAGGAGGTAAATGTCTGTGTGGAGGAGGTAAATGATACCAATTTGAGATGGGAATGTATCAGAGACATTGTCTGTGTGGAGGAGGTAAATGATACTTACCAATTTGAGATGGGAATGTATCAGAGACATTGTCTGTGTGGAGGAGGTAAATGATACCAATTTGAGATGGGAATGTATCAGAGACATTGTCTGTGTGGAGGAGGTAAATGATACCAATTTGAGATGGGAATGTATCAGAGACATTGTCTGTGTGGAGGAGGTAAATGATACTTACCAATTTGAGATGGGAATGTATCAGAAACAAAGTCAAAGTGATGTTTCAGTTTAAGGTTGCACTCCTTATCATTTACACCATGGTCTGTGTAAATTACATCTAGAACAGATAAATAGTAACATATTTAATATCAAATTAGATTTTGTTGAAAGATATGTGTGAGTCATTTACAACAATACAAATTAGTACATGTATTTAGTAAATATATCAGTATAACTAACTGTTTTGTATAGCATTCCATATCAGAAAGCCACTTGCCAGTCATATCTGTATAGTAATATCTACTTTAGGAGAAGAATTTGTTTAAAGTTGTTATCAAAATCTTATCCTTTCAATCTTGAAAGTAGGTCAAGGCTATTTTTGACAAAAGGTATTTGACTGCATTGCAGGAAGTAACTAGGCAAATAGCACAAGCTGCATCCAGTGTTGATAAACACAAGAGCCTAAAGCTGATGAATGTTGCATCATCTCTTATAATCACAGCAATAAACAAAAAGGACTCATACTCCGATGTTCACTTCTTGAAAAGGATCTTCTATCAATCTATCTATTCATCACATTCCAGTTGTTTGTTTCAAATTTATACTTATACCATCTTGTTGTTCACATTACAGAAACACACATTTAATATTCTATTCATCACAAGAACATCAGTCCTATTTTATACTCCAGTAACATTGTCAGCTGTTTTACATAACAGAAGCTGTGTGTAAGACTCTATCATTTTCATTGTGTCACTATTTCAAAGAACTGGGAGACATGGAAGAATATGCGAGTATTCTGTTGAGGGAAGCATTAGGTTATATATCTTACTTACATTGACCCTCTGTTTTCTCAGCTAACCATCTTTCCAGGGTTCGTATAGTTGTACTGTCTACAATATTTGGGTACCTAAATGGTAAACAAAACCATGCATGGTCAAACAGTAGTCTATTAAAATGTCCATCCTACTTGGATTATATAACCCAATACCAGCAAGGCTGCTGAAGTTAAAAGGTGCCTAATTGCTCAATAAAACAAGATGTCATGGTAACATTGATTTGTAATGGTAACGGTTGATTTGTCATGGTAACAGTTGATTTGTCATGGTAACAGTTGATTTATCTTTACGATTTATATCTAGCAATTGAAGATCAAATAATTAAATTGCTTAAAATAAATGATGGTCTTCTTTGTAACTGAAGACTCCTTCCACATGCTGCCTCAGAGTGATCAGATCTTGCCTCACAATATTTGGTTAGAGTTATAAAAAATTGTAAAAATGAATCTCATTTACTTACATTCAAGGTCAATAGTAAGAAGCTTCTCCCTGCCTCGCCATTACACAATTCCATATATATTCAAATACAGAATATATCTTTTAAGTTAAATAAATAATGCAGAACAATGATTTGACTTTGTCATAGATCTCCATTGTATATACAGATCCTCTCAGTGCTTGCGTGGCATACCTGACTGTATAAATGTATAGATGGACATTACCTATGCTTTAGAAATCCTATTAATAAGTCATTTCCTCTGTTGCTAGGTAGGGCCATCATTGGAGTTTCCCTGGGAAAAAATGGGTCATATTTAGTATGTGCTTTTTCTATTTATAGTGTAGAGTTTCCTGAAAAGCAAATTAAGTTTGCCATCCAGTTTTATACGAAAGATAACGAGAGGCCCACAGACTTAGAAAAAGGTATGAGTGATAGCTTGATAACATAATCTCATCTTAGTTAAATTGAATACAAAATCAGAACCAGGATTATAATGTAAAAGACATGATATCTGCCTGGAATGAAAGTCCTGTACAGTGTGTGATTGCTTTGATGATTTTCAAATAACCTCTAGCTTTACCAAAATAAATTTGATGACCCATGTTTAGTGTAGATACCCTCTGTTCTGGAAGTTCTAATTTTCAATTTTAAGTAATGTTAGAAGAAGACAGGATGTAATCAATAAGTCTGGACCTTTCTCACTCCATACACTGAAGACGGAATATAATTTTTCAGTCCCTGATTTTTACCTACCCTATTTCTAGTGGACGGGTTGTTATCATTTCATCTTGAGTTCTCCTGACAAACATAACAGGACCTGGATACCTATGGGAATACATACAATACAAAATATACAAGAAAATGCCCACACTGTCAACATAACACCTCCACATATATAGTTTTATATCTATTAAGAACCAAAAACTGTTCTTTTGGATTTTGTCATTTGCTAACATCACTGAAGATTTTGGAAGGAAAATACAACTGTCAGATAATTCTTATTCATTATTTCAATCATTATGTAAGTTTTTAGCATGATTTACATATACTTTATAACAAAGTTTAAAAATATTCAGCTTTAAATCTTTAAATCAACCAATTTGTAAGGAACTTAACACAGAAGTACTGATGATAACACTGCCATTCAGAGCCTGTGAAACACTTACTCACTAATCTGTTCTAGATTATTCAGATTCAGGTAGGTTCTTATGGCATGGGAAACTAGTCCTCCTGAAATATAGAAATGATGATCTTTATCATCTAATACTGTTGATGTATGTCACCAGAAAGGTTTAAAGATCCTTCGATAAAATTTCAGGTGAATTTAAAAAGTAATGCACAGCCAAATTTAAGGTTTTTACTGTAAGCAGACTTATTACAGGACCTGTTTTGAGAAGCTGCACAAACACTAAGAAACCTAATTAATATCTAAAATATCGAAAATTTGAAGAAAAAAAAAACAGCACAATGAATATTCAATAACATATTATTTATCAATTAAGCATTAAAAATAACATACTGCATCATCTTTCAGATACTTAATGAGAAGACTTTAATTCCATAGTAAAACAGGACAGTAATTTACAACAGATTTAACTGGTAAAGGAGTTCCACTTAACCTACACCACTTCAGAACATAACCAGTCTTGTTTGAAGTCCAGCACTTTAAATACATATTTTACTTACTGGCAAACTGAGGCATCCTTGCAACAGCTAAAGGCTCCACATGATCAAAGGTGGCATCCAGTGTCTACAATATACAACAAGTTTATACACAACCAGAGGTATTCTGATATAACTCATAGTTTCTTAACTCCTGCTACAAAAATTATAATAAACACCATTCAGATGATTTGATTCCCTGATATCCTACAAAATGTATATCATAAAACTTTAAACATACACGTGTTCATTATTTCAATTACATGATAATACATACACAAGACTCACACCATCTGAGAGACTGTACTATCAACTCATTAACAACTTCTCATACATCTGAGAGACTGTTCTCTCAACTCATTAACAACTTCTCACACATCTGAGAGACTGTACTATCAACTCATTAACAACTTCTCATACATCTGAGAGACTGTTCTCTAACTCAACATTTTCTCACACATCTGAGAGACTGTTCTCTCAACTCATTAACAAATTCTCACACATCTGAGAGACTGTTCTCTCAACTCATTAACAAATTCTCACACATCTGAGAGACTGTTCTCTCAACTCATTAACAAATTCTCACACATCTGAGAGACTGTTCTCTCAACTCATTAACAAATTCTCAAACATCTAATAGACTGTATCTCATTTCATTAACAACTTATTATCATCATACAAGTTAAATAGAAGCCTTGCAGATGAACTACAACACTTACTTGGCAGGACAATGCTTTTTGGGCAATTCCTCCTTCTGGAGAGCCATATTTTTTCTATATAAATATTTTTTGTAAGTGACCATTGTTCTATGTATGCCAATACTTACAACACATTTGATTGTAGGATAAGTCTTCGCAGCCCAGGAGGCTGGGTAGCCACCAATGGACCAGGCAAACAGCCAGATGTTTTCAGGGGGGAAGTTCAGTTTGTTAATTGCATACTGCATCACAGCGTCCATTGCTAACTGGTCCTGGTCAGGTGTAGGGGAACCCTGTAATATTATCAGATATCCTCGTCACAATTCAGGCGTAGTGAAGCCCTGTAATTGTTGTTATAATATATGTATTCAATACAAACATTAAATATTAAACTAGTAGTATTTAAAAGAAAAAGAAAACAAAATACTGGTGAAAAAAGGCATGTAACTATGACAGGAGAGAAGACCTACAGAACTACCAGCGAAGCCAGGATGGTTCCAGCCCAGGACTGAGTAACCAGCATCAAGTGGGGTCTTTGTACAGCCAATCTCATAGAACCCCGAATTTCCTTCACAAGTTATCACCTGTAGAGAAAACCCCAATTATTACATAGAAATTGGTTATTGGCGATTTCTTCTCCAAACTTTGGATGGTGATAATAGAGCTATCATCCTTTATCAAGTTAATTTTCAGTTGTTAAATTTCATATCAATTAAAAATCTTAGCCGATAAATATTATTTCTTTAAATATCCAATAAAGGCTTCCATCACGATACATTTTTGCTATTATGGGTGACAAATTTACTTTCTAACAAAAAATATCACATGTATAATTACTTTATTGTAAAATTGCTTCTAAGGTTTGACAATTGGTTGTGAGGACAATCAATCCCATTGCAATCCTTACCAGTATGTTTCCCTTCTGTCCTGGTGTTTGTCCCTGTGGTCTACGGTCTATAAACATTGTGTCTATCTCATTTTTATCCTCTGTCTGAACCTTAACTCTCCTACCTTTGCACTACAACCAATCAGATACAAGTTTAAATGTAACAACAGCAATTTATTGGAACAATTTACGAAATAAGTCATGCCAACTTTTGTGTCTTCTAAATTATCTACACCAATGTTTCAACGAACAACAGAATGCAATCACTTACAGGTTAAGTGTTTGGTGAAAAGATACCTGTGGTCACTAGTGTTGGTTTCAGGATAGACTGAAGGCCAACAGTTAAACTGCCAATGCTACCCTGGTATAAGTATTGAGTTCATTATAAAAGATCTTCAATCATTCATCAATCCTAATTTTCTTTAGATAAGTGAAAACACACATCAGAATCATTATACACATTATACTGACCACTGAACTCATCACTTAAGTTAGTATTAATCTAATCTGTATCCATGTCACTAATTAGTATAAATTTCTGGTAATTGTAATTAGAAGATAACAGCAGCCTTGTTGTGAAACACTTACTTCATCCACCAGCCTTCCTCTTTCCTGGATCAGCATGCTTTCTTGAAAGCAGAAAACATGAAAGGTTGACGAGATTACATAACTGATCATGTGACATAGCTTTCAGTTCGATGGTTTCTGATAATTACATTATATGAACTCAGTAACTGAAACAAATATGCTCACAGACACTTAATTTATCCTTGTCCAACAACCATACAACTCCTAAAGAAATCTGGTAGACCCATAATGTAAAGGAAAAAATACATTGAGTATCTATTTAAATTTACATAACCTTTGACCACTGACAGGAAGTTATCCATTTTAAGGCTGAAGGATTCTTAGTTTAAATTACGATTATGAGGCAATTTATTCATAGTAGTATTAATACTGATTACAGTATATTCTTTTCAGACCAGACACCCTTTGGGCCAAATTACTTGTGATTTTGACAGAATTCCAGATTATAGGGTTTGCAATAAGCAAAAATGGATTTGCAGGGATTACTTTACTTGACCAGAGAAAACAATGGTGGAGAGATTTCACTGTATATGGCAGTAAGTTGTAATATTTCAGTTCTGATCCACAGTATATATACATTTTTCTTGTTACTCTATATTTACTCCAAATTTAATTATATTACAGAAGAATGGTAGGGGGCGGGAAGCCAAGGGAGAATGGAAGAGATAGGAAGCAGAGGGACGTTTGAGGAAAGGAAAGGCAGAAGATGAGTAGAGGTTGAAGAAAAGGTATGAGGAGAAGGGAGGTGGGGAGGTGAGGGGAGGTTGGAAAGAATGTGAGGCAGTGGAGGTTGGAAAAGAAAGGAGGTAGAGGGGAGGAGGCTGGAAGAGGCAGAAAATGAGTGGGGCGGAGGGGGTGGGGGTTGGGGTGGGGGTTGGGGAAAAGGGAGATATAGTGGAGGCGAGGCAAGGGGATTGAAGGCAAGACTACTCACCTAGTAGAGTGTTGATAAGTGCTGTTGAGCCTGGGTACATCATACGCCGACCAAATGTATGGGCACACATGTAACTATTGGAACAATAAAATTAATTGCCTTTATTTAAAAACATCCAAAACTGCAAGATGGTACATCTTTACATAATGTATAGCATACACAGATCAGAGAAAACAGATCAGAGAAGCGTTGAAAAAGGGGCATGCCCTGTTACTGGAGTACTGACAATTGTTCCTGTGCTTACCTCAGTATTGAGAGTGGGGCCTTGGAGATCGATCCCACAGCTGGTGATGGTGATTTTGGAGTAGTATTCTTGTCCTTTCGTGATGCTCTGGTAAAATTAATTAAGAAATTATATATATCAAATTCATGTAAATAGCACCCATGTCCACAAGGAGTTAAATTCATCAGCAGTAATACATTTACATTAACATGATTATATACTGCCACACATTTTACATACTTAATAGCTACAACATTGTAAATAATCAAATGTCATTTCATTGTAATACTAACCCAACACTATAGTCTACTGGCCAGGCCCAAAATTCAAAATCAAATTTAGACAGCTGTTTCTGAAATTAAGAAAACAAATGTGGAGAATTAATTAGTTGGTTTTCAATCAAACTTATCATCAACATTCAAAAGAATAAATATACTGAAATTTATCGTGGTGCTATACCCTACAATGACATTTTTTCTAGTTATGATACATTTTTTTATATGTTCCCTGTCAACATACATTGTATAGTCATGATACAATACATGTTTCCTACACATGGTATGGTTATGATACATCAAAGGTTATATTACCCGATATTCTTGTGACTTCTGGGCCTTCATTAGAACATCCAAAAACATAATATAGTCCCAGTTGTCCCATCGGCCTTTTCCTGTAAATTTGAAAAATGTTAAAGGTATTCTATGATTCTGGGAAAAAATATTGGTCATACCTGCTCTTATACAACTGGTATCCTATGTGAATATGTTTGTAAACAACGACAGGTCTATCCTAAGGAAATTAAAATGAGTCATGTGTGTTAACCAAAAAAAATTAGATCATTGTGTACTGTTGACCAAACCATTACTGGATAACCATATGCTTTTAACTAAACTATAAGAGGTTCCCAACTATACAGTAGGATAGCTACCATATTGTGTGTTACTGAAGATTAAAGCTGACTATGCAAGTTAAAAAGGTATAAATTTGGAATTCAAAAAAATTCTGAACTAAGTAACAGATGTCACCTGGCGACAACACAACCTTCCAGTCATAGTAGTATCAAAGGAAGTGCAGACATTTTAATGTCCGCCTTGATTGGAAAGTATGATTGTATCTGGGTATACAGGACACACAACCTGTCAACTGGTAATCATTACATCATTGTCTGTTTGAAGTGGAACCCAAGTGCATCAACACCAAGTAATGCTGAATGACAGTAAGACAGGATCAACACTCTTACCTTTGGATGATGATATAATACAAAAATTGTCTCTATCTCCTACGATGCTCAGATCTTATTGTATCCACATATAATGTGGATGTATTTAGAAGCTTAGTGTGGAGCTTGTGGTGGATGTATTTAGAAGCTTAGTGTGGGGGTTGTGGTGGATGTATTTAGACGCTTAGTGTGGGGGTTGTGGTGGATGTATTTAGAAGCTTTGTGTGGAGCTTGTGGTGGATGTATTTAGAAGTGGGGATTGTGGTGGATGTATTTAAAAGCTTAGTTTGGGGTTTGTGGTGGATGTATTTAAAAGCTTAGTGTGGGGTTTGTGGTGGATGTATTTAGAAGCTTAATGTGGGGGTTGTGGTGGATGTATTTAGAAGCTTAGTGTGGGGTTTGTGGTGGATGTATTTAGAAGCTTAGTGTGGGGTTTGTGGTGGATGTATTTAGAAGCTTAGTGTGGGGTTTGTGGTGGATGTATTTAAAAGCTTAGTGTGGGGATTGTGGTGGATGTATTTAGAAGTGGGGATTGTGGTGGATGTATTTAGAAGTGGGGATTGTGGTGGATGTATTTAAAAGCTTAGTGTGGGGTTTGTGGTGGATGTATTTAAAAGCTTAGTGTGGGGTTTGTGGTGGATGTATTTAGAAGCTTAGTGTGGGGTTTGTGGTGGATGTATTTAGAAGCTTAGTGTGGGGATTGTGGTGGATGTATTTAGAAGCTTAGTGTGGGGTTTGTGGTGGATGTATTTAGAAGCTTAGTGTGGGGTTTGTGGTGGATGTATTTAGAAGCTTAACATGGGGTTTGTGGTGGATGTATTTAGAAGCTTAGTGTGGGGTTTGTGGTGGATGTATTTAGAAGCTTAGTGTGGGGATTGTGGTGGATGTATTAAAAAGCTTAGTGTGGGGATTGTGGTGGATGTATTTAGAAGCTTAGTGTGGGGTTTGTGGTGGATGTATTTAGAAGCTTAGTGTGGGGATTGTGGTGGATGTATTTAGAAGCTTAGTGTGGGGTTTGTGGTGGATGTATTTAGAAGCTTAGTGTGGGGATTGTGGTGGATGTATTTAGAAGCTTAGTGTGGGGATTGTGGTGGATGTATTTAGAAGCTTAGTGTAGGGTTTATTAAGTTACATATGCCAAATCTTTATGTATGTGCTTTACAAATTAAATATGTGCAACGTGTACAGGAATTGTTTACTTCTCATTACATAACAGCTTTTGTTAATGTCAATATCATTTCCCGGGCAGATAATTTTGTTTGTGTAAGTTCAAAATGTTTTTTTATCTGTTTATCATTTTGTTTCTTTGATAGAGAATCCATTGATGAGAGTCATTTCATTTTTATATCTAATTCTGTCCCCTTAAAACATATAAGGAAATCTAGAATGTGTATCAATGATATACATGAACATGTATATAGATGTATCATGTTATACTATCAATGAACAATAACTGGCTTGACAACCTGGTTGTGTGCTTTATACCAAGAACTTCCCATACATGTTCTTAAGTAAGACAAACACTTAAATTGTTTGCACTTTCTTGTAGACGATGCCTGGAAGATAAGTGCCATTCTAAAAGAGTATGACTTTGCTTATTTTTTTCACTTCCCACTTACAGCTTTAAGACCAGCAAAACTAAGAAAGATCCCAGTATCAGTATCATGGTGAAAAAAAAAAAAAAACAAAAAAACACTGAAGTAAAATGTTTCAATTAAACCTTAACCATTGTGCTTGATCTTATGTTTAAATCAGTTTCAGGAAGCTGAACCCACTCTTAATCTATGCCATCCTGAAACAACATGTCAGATTAGGTTAAATACAGGAGTAACAGGACAGAACCTGATCTTTTTAGGTTTCTAGGGAAAAATAAATGATACCTATGTGTCCTTTATTGATATACATAGCACTTCACGTGTTGTAGATAAGATAAGTACATTAACTGGCTCACCACATAATGGTTTTAGCATGAAACTCAAAAACATTTCATAAAATTCTCCAGGATTATGATAAAAATACTATTTCAGTCCTTACCTCTTAACAGCCAAGCCACCAAATAGATGACACTTAATGATATGCCCAACTTGCCAAGGCTTATCACACCATCCACAGAGCAGTAACCTGGTCAGAAAACAAACCATATATATTGTAATACAAAAGAACCAGCACAGTGAATATTTACTTTCACTACGTATTTTTGTTGGAAATAGTGGTTCAAAAGACACGGTCAGAAAACTTGAGTTTCAGTACTTCATGTAGTAGTCAAAAAGGCAATACTGACTAGTCAGGAGTATTGACCAGTTCTGTACAACACTGACCATTAAATAGTATTGACCAGTTCTGTACAACACTGACCAGTAAGTAGTACTGACCAATTCAGTACAACAGTGACCAGTAAGTAGTGTTACCCAGATTTGTACAATACTGACCAGTAAGTAGTACTACCCAGATTTGTACAATACTGACCAGTAAGTAGTACTACCCAGTAAGTAGTACTACCCAGATTTGTACAATACTGACCAGTAAGTAGTACTACCCAGATTTGTACAATACTGACCAGTAAGTAGTACTACCCAGATTTGTACAATACTGACCAGTAAGTAGTGTTACCCAGATTTGTACAATACTGACCAGTAAGTAGTACTACCCAGATTTGTACAATACTGACCAGTAAGTAGTACTACCCAGATTTGTACAACACTGACCAGTAAGTAGTACTAACCAGGTCTGTACATTACTGACCAGTTCTATATAGCACAGACCAGTCTGTGTTGACCAGTTCTCTATATCAGTGACCAGTCTAGATCTGTAGTACTGACCAGTTCTGTATAACACTGATCAGTCTGTATCACTGACCACTCTTCAACAACACTGACTGTCTCTACCAGTCTGATATACTCACCTCTTCGGTACAGCAAGGACAGCACCACAGGAGATGTCCAATAGGAAAATGAAAAGCAGAATCTCAGCTGTAAAGACAAAAACATACATTCTATAGCTCATATTTACACAGTATTACCAGATATAGTATTGTAAATACACACTTTGTACATTGAAACCATGAATAGCAAATATAACTGTCATTAATGTTACCCAGGGGGAATGGCTGATAATGCTGTAACAACACTGTCAGCACTTACCATACTGATAATCTGTAGAATTCTGAAATATCTAATGCACTTACTTTTTCAGCTATGAAGTAATCAACACATTGTGATATTGATCAACATGTGATCCATGTAATATCTGATGCACCAAACTAAGGAACATTCTGCTTCTGAATAATATTAATCGACTCACCACACTGATGAACTTGTTTCCCGTTGCTTCCATTATGTTTGGGGTGTAGATTTTGGCCTGTAGTAAAAGCAAAAGCATAAATTCTATATTACAAAAGAAACCTTACAAGTTTGCATCTTGTTTCACATACAAATATATCATTTAATACAGTTTTTTTCCCCAGAAGGGTGTGGTTTGATTCCAAAAACTCAAACTGGTGAAACTGGAAAATGTTTTTTTTTTCATGAATTTTACTGGTCGGCTATTCTACTACACTATTATACTATTTGGCAAGGGATGGTCCAAAAAATATTCCAGGACCTGTAATATATCAGAAAAAGATACAAAATTTTAATCTCTGTTTTATTCTTTAACTGACAGGCATATGTTTTATTCTTTAACTGACAGCCAGGCTTATGTTTTATTCTTTAACTGACAGACAAACTTCATACATAGATTGGAAATATAAGCTATCAGGTAACTCTAAGCTGAACTCCAATGGACATGAACAAGTGCATTATTCCTGAACAGATGTTAAAGGTATGTTGTGGAACTAAGCCACAGTTTTAAATCATGTTTTCACCATTTGAAAAGTGCATATGCTTTTGTTCTGATAAAGAAATTGGCATGTGGGCTTCATTAATTATAATATCTTTTCGTTCATTCTCTGAATGTTTTGACTTGAGTGTATACCAGTTTGCAACAGAAACAGGTCATGCATGCACAATCCAATTTGATAAGACCATTTTATTTCCTAGATTAATAAAAACATGTAAAAAAACACCAACAGCAAAATAAAAAAACGAAAAACAAGAACCAACGTCCATTCAGTATAGATAAGGAAAAGGTCGTCTTCTAGGTCCCAGAAGGATACCAAATAGTGCAGGACACTTATCAAAAGTAGATTAACTTCAAGGTAAAAGAAAGAGCAGCACCTCCTGAGGCCAGATTAGGAAAATATGTGACTGTCAACATGTTTCGGCCTGCTAGGCAGGCCATCATCAGGGCATAATTTATTGGTGTTACTATCACATTTTGAAGCTGAATTACAATGGACAATATGATGACATCATAATGTTACCAAGGAAGTAGTAAAGGAGAAACAAGGCATTTACATGATGATTGGTCTAAGTTAAAGAAAGATTGTTAGCAGAGTTAGGTAGATAAATTTAAGCCTTGAGTAAGTTTTAGAGCCTAAATAAGTTAAAAGTCAGTTGAGAAAAGTAGCAGCAATCATTAAAAGACTTCAGTGAGTTCTAAAGGCTCAGTAAGGATATGTCCAAAGAGGGAATGGTCTTTGCATTGGAAAGCTCCATAAGTATTCCAATTGAAGTATGGTAATTCACATCAATAACATCGGGCATATGATGGCAGAGTAACTAGAAGGCTGTTGATCTGTTTTGGATAAGTATACATCACTGGTGTGTATTGTAGACATTCATTGAAGCTTCCTTTCTGGTAAAGCAGGTTCCATATAGAATATTAAATGTGTATTCAGTAATGAGTATCATCAAGATAAATGAATGGATATCCAGAATAAGCCTGTGGAACTCACAATTTAGAAAAAAAAGTTAAGAAAATGTGCTGGTTGAGTCTGGTAATATAATCCCTTCATGGTAGCATCAATCCCAGTTGTAGAGGTCTTTACATGTTAACATCTTGAAGTTTCTTCCATCAGAGGTACATTTCAATGCATAAGGTCTTTGGAGGTAAGATGGTGGTTATCTTCTTGCTTTCCTGTATTTGTAAATCTTCATCCAAGTGGCCAGCAAGGTTGGTGTACTCAGGAGAGGACGGATTCCAAATGGAATGCGGGGTTCTTAACAGATGTTGTTAAATATAAATAGCCAAGTTGCAATCGCTACATACATATCCTCCTTATTTATTATACAAGAACATTACTCCAGGTCTCTCATCATTTTTGATAATGAAAAAACAAAACTGACTAAATTCTGATATACTTAATTCTATGGAAAAGTAACAATTTTACTCCATCTACCATTGCGCAAAGTTTAATATATCAAAGACAATATAAGAAACTGAAAAGAGTATTCAAACTAAACCTTAAAACAAAGCAAATGCTACAGTGATTTCAAACATGCAATGTAAGTGGAAAAACTAAGGACATAAATGTACATTGTATATGTTTCTAGGAAAAGCATTGATGTTTTACATACTCAATGTAAAGTGAAAGTACAGCGGAATTGCAGTACATACAAGTCTTACAAGAATAATCAATGTCGGGTTATTTCCTAAATTATGGGTTTGATTAACCCACCCAGATCCGGATTATGTAAAACCAAACTCAACTCTTGCAGGAAGGGATAAACCATCCACAACTTACTGGGATTAATGCACATGAATACTTGCTGTACACAAAAATAACGAATAAAAATGTTTAAGTTCAGTTGTACACATATATATGATTTGTTTACATTTATACGTGTTTATATATATATCTATGTACACTGTATATCAATGCACGTTGTCCAGCAACGGTACCAGAACACAGACAGACTACTTTCATCGTGTTCTATTCCCTGTTCCCGAAATAAGGAAACTTGCTACACCATAATCACCTGTCGGTCTTCATATTTCGGTCTGTCTTCATCTCTATGTCTCCGAAATAATTTTGGACCCCTAAAGCACCGGTAGATCTTCTCAAAATATGACATTTTTCTGCTTGCACAAATGACACTGAACTTCTTGTTAGAAGTAATGCGACGGTGTTCGAGTGTCTCGGACTTATTCAAATGCATCGATCAAAAGTCCAAAGAGTAATCGAAAAATAAAACGCATCTCGGTCGTTTGAATGTTTTGTAAAACATCAACTTTAATAGCCCACGGTAAAGCTTACAAATGACCGTGTTGTAAAAAAAAAAGGCACATGCAGCTGGGAATTTGGAACTTCAGAGTATAACCAGGAGATCTAGAGTCAACGATCTAGAGAGGAGTATAGAAAGAAGCGGTTAGATTTCAACTAGTTCGATTCCATTGCTGTTCCAGAAGACAATCATGAGCACAGAAGAGGTAAGATTTTGGTAGTGTGAATGTATTTCATTCAATAGAAAACAAAGAAAGGAGACAAACTTCATAAGGCAAATTTTACTTTCATTTTCGTTTCATTTCAAACGAAACAAAAAAGTGGTAAACTATTATGAATGAGAAAGGGCAACGAAAAGCATGCAGTTAATCGTTAATTGTAAGTTGTTGTATGAACTGGATTTCCTTCTCTCATTTTGCACCATTCATAATTTAAGCATTTGAAATCTTTTGAAAATGATAGAAATTTCATTCTAGTTTATTTTTTTTTAAATATTTCACTAGGGACGTACATGTTCGTCCCAAAGTTTACATGATCAATTATTTTTCTACATTTGACATGTAACCAAATTTGATGAACATTCAAAACAATTAATAGTTTATCAATTTAAGTTTTTCTGTTTCTTCATTCAGTTTAAAAAGGAGAGTTTTCACCAATACTTCCTATTACATAATGTCAATAAGGTATGTTTCATTATTATTACACATATCCTTTCTTAATTTTTTTTTTAAGCTGAGGAAAGATGCTGCGGAATTGCGGGGTTTCATGGAGACTGCATCTCGTCAAAGAGTAAAAGACATCTTATCATTAGAACTGCGGAAAATAGAAACAGAGATTATCAAGAAAGAAGAAGCTAAAAGTGCAAGTGCTAAGGAAACGGATACAGCTAAGCCCACTACAGAGGGACTTAAAGTTAGACAGCCTCGTTCTTTATCCTACGTTCAAGAGAAAACTTATGGTAAACTATCATGACTACAGCAATGCTCCTTGTGTCGTTACACATACAGTAATTATGATCTCAGATTTCCCAACCCTTTCCACCCCCTCCAAAATTTCACCGTATCTCTGAAAACCTTTCAGATGACTAATTTGGCAAAATAATTGTGTGAAATGCCTTAAGATATATTTTGTGGATTTAGAGATAGAAGATGAAGAGCATAGGTATTTGACTGATTTGAAAACAAGTTTCAATTTGTTTACTTCTTTGAAGTCACATTTATGCAGGATACTTTGCTATATACATAAATATAACAATTTTGTGAAAAAGAATGAATTCAATTTGTATCATTTTAGCCTGGGACCAGTCAGACAAGTTTATGAAAATTTATGCCCAGTTGCCAGATGTCCAGAGTTTACCCAAAGACAAAATCACCTGTGATTTTACTTCAAGGTTGGTGTTTCTTAAAATCATCATAACATTTTTTTTTTGGGAAAAAATCATCATTACTGTTTAGAGTTGAGTGTTAGAAGATTAAGCTTATTTTGGAAATTGGTTAAAATTTATTCAATATACTTATTTTGAATGTCAGGGCTGTAGGTGTTTATGTATTTGTGATAAACTTTGATTGTATTTGTGATGAATATTGATTACATGGTGAGTGGTGCAGGCCCTTTGGGTATCTTGTTTTATTGAAAGATTAAAATCTGGTCTGTTGTGCTATGGAGACCAGATTTCTGAAGTTTCATACATGAGAGATCTCGCATTGCTTTTGTTCACATGACAATGTGATGAGATACAAGATAAAAAAAGAAAAAGTTGTTTTGGGAGTATGGCAAATAGTGTACAGCAAGATGATTGTATTTTCCTTTTTTAGATCATTTAAACTGCAAGTTCATGAATTGAAGAATAAAAACCATGAGTGGCATATAGCACATCTAATGGAGGAAATTGTGCCAGAAGAGAGCTATTTCAAGGTAAGAATAGTTCTTTAAAAAGTGAACTTCTCTAGAGTGTATAATAGAATCATGACCAAATTTAGCCAGACAAATAGCTACGGAAGAGACCTTTTTTTGTGTATAGGTATAAAAAACAAAAGGGATATAATTTTTATTGCAAGGTAGATTTATCAAGTTTAAGATAACACAAAGAGAAGTGGACTAAAAGGGGTAATTTGTCACTACAGATAATAATTAAGGCAATATTTGATAGGTACTGACCTTATTGTTTAGATTTTATGTTCAGGGGTATTCCCATGGTTTATGTATATATAAATGTGATGACAAGAAAAAAGTTGACAGGAGTCTGAGGAGTGTATCCAAAAGGGATTGATTTCCTAACAATGAAGTTATATTATGTATCTGTTAAGGTGACAGGGGTTTTGGTTCACTGATGGGTAAAGGTATGGGGTGTTAATGTGGTACAAATGTCAGTTGGTTTACTTGGAAATGAAAACTGAAAAATACAGATTACAAAACGATAATGTTTATTTTCAATGCAAAACATGGGTAATATATATACATACAAGACACGCTCTCAAACACACACTCTCTCCTAAATAAAGAAATATGAATGTTTATGTAGCGTCACAATCATGGTGCTGGTGATCCGACTAATAATGTGCAGACAACTCAGTGGAGTTAAAATAACAGTCACTAACCGATGACCCAGCTCAATCCAGAGTCATTGGTAAAAATACCACTTGGAGCAGTATCATGCTCGTATACACCATACTTGACATAAGCACTGAATCCATGACATGACAGCAAATCTCAATGGTGGAAGAATACTCCCAAGCACAGCTTGATGATTCCTGCATAGCTGAATGGTTGACCTTGACACTGGCGAAAGGTGATTATCCTGGTTGGTCCTGATGCCTGACAATACTGCGTAGGAACCACTTGCCTGGTCCGGACTCACTATCTGAAGCTGCTATCTCGCCATGTGAAGCTACAATAAGTGAATTGACACAAATAGTTAAACATATCACCCACATTTCCATACTTCCCTAACATATAGCATAAAGCCTGAATACTAATCTAATTTACCGTAATTGATTAACAGTAATATAAACTATCTGTTACAAACACTAAATATGTTTCAAATATGTAATAGTAATGTGCAGCTATAATTTATTCACAAAATAACATAACATCGCACAATACGTAAACTGACACCTTATGTCTTCCATACATTTTTCACCTGCATGCGTACTCACTATGTTCAACACTATGACAATAGAACAAGGCTTCCATACTTTTGTAAATAAAGTTAAATGTTTAACAATTAAGTATGTATTTATGACCCATGTACAATAGTAGCACATACACGCTTTATGAAGTTAACACAAAGACAACATAACTAAAACTTATTTCACCTAAATAATACCCATTGGTCATGGCTGACTGGAGCACAGTTACTTAGATTGTTTGACCTGATAATATCATGGTACAATACAATAATACCAACTAAAATAGAACAGAGCTAACTTACTGCAGTCTGTCTTCTGTGTCTGTTTTACATGCTGTAAAATAGCAATAAATCCATATCAGGTACACGAGCCAAATAAACAATGTTATGGTAAACAGATCACCATGTGCACATCTACCTGTGACGCAGTTCCACCCAACACCAGTACCTACGGTAACTGTTAAGGTTACTTACCCAGGTTATTATGAGGAAAACAAGATACATATACACAATCAATTCAATATACTATCAACATGCTTGCTTGAAAAGAGTCACCTGCCTGACTTTGTGGGTTTTCCCTGGGTGGTCTGGTTTCTTCTCACACTAAGAACTCATACATGTATGTTTCTATCCAGGCCAACATCACATGAAATTTAATGTAACTTGTTTGTTTTACAGTTATTATGAAAAAAATAATGTTAAAAAAAAAAGAAAAATATTTGTGTTTCCAGTTTCCCAACAACCTCAGTTTTTTTTGTTACTGTAACTAATTTTTTTTCTCAACATTTCGGCAAAAAAAAAAAAAAAAATACTCTGTGTAATGATTTTGCTCATGTTTTGTTTGCTAGCAATCCCCAGAAATACCAGTACCCTAAATCCAATTTCTTAGAAAATGGTGGTTGCTAGACCATCAAAAGTAACCACAATGTTAGTTCAGTTTTTTATCCTCAAAAATTTTAGAGGGAGTATATAGTCACTGCCTTGTCTGTCAGTCCATCTGTCTTTCCCTCCTTTCATGTCCAGATCATAACTTTGCCAAAAGTTAAGCAAGGATTATGAAACATGGTTTATACATTGATGATACAAATATGATGTGCAGTGTACCATATTCAGAGCCCACAACCCCTTTATTACAGAGCTGTTGCCTTTTGGTAGAATTTTGTGTCTAGAGCAAAACTTTTAAGTTGCTTGTGATAAAACTAGGATAATGAAGCTTGGTGGATACATTGATTATACCAAGACAATGTACATTGTACCAAATTCAGGCCCCTTGACTCCTCAATTACAGTTATTGCCCTTTGTTAAAATTTCTTGTCCGGAACATAACAGAGTTAAGCAAGGATCATGAAATAAGTGTATGCATTGCTCATACTAAGACAATATGCTGTGTACCAAATTCAGGGCCCTGGGACCCTCAATTACAGAGTTATTTCCTTTTGTTGAAATTTTGTCTACAGCATAACTTTGCTTGCATTTAATTTAGGATAGTGAATGATTTTAATCTAGGATATTGAAAGGTGATATATACATTAGTCATACAAAAGCAAGGTGCAGTGTAGCAAAGTCATGGCCCATGACCCATTAGTACTAGGGGCATGAAACTTGGTGTATACATTGGTCATACCATGAAAATGTGCTGTGTACCAAATTCAGAGCCTGCAACCCCTTAATTACAGAACTATTGTCCTTTGGTAAAATTTTGTGCCAAATAGATTGGTTTTTGCAAGCATTCATTAGTTTCACTGATACAAAATGGAAAACAAGTATCAAGCAACCATCTTGAATTTGGCAGTTAAAGATTAACGTCACTATTTCTTCAGAGGAATGTTCAAATTTCAAATAGAAAGAAAGATCCAACTTTTAAAGAACAAATAAAGATCAAACAATGTTGGGCACCAAGATCCTTCTGGGGTCTCTTGTTAGAAGTACCATATTTATCCTGTATTAAGCAGAAGGTTCCATCACATTACTTCTTCAACATGTTTTGAAATGGATTTATTACTGAACACTGTAATAGTACTAATTTGTAATTATATTTAGCAACATAGATATGGATGGGCTTATTACCAGTGTGTGCTCATTGCAAGATTAATATGGTATATGTTACTTTGTTCCTCTAATTCTTGTCATATTTACTTCCTAGTTTTCATCATAGTGTCTTCTTTGTAGCAGGATGTCATTAAGGATGTCATGTCTATGTTTATAGTAATCTTATCAGCCTCCTAACTGTAGAATTAGATAAGGGATGTGATGTATAGAATTATGCTCTATAAAATTTCTCTTTTGTTTTACTTTAGGTGAAGACCAACAGTGTTTTAGTGATGCTGAAGAAAAAGGAAGTGAAGACATGGCCCTATGTTACAGAGCGAGAGAAAAAGGCACAGGATAATAAAAAGTAATTGTATTTTACATTGACAAAATTTAAATAAGATATAATATCCATGATTATGTTAATATCCGGCAAAGAGTCTTGGCCAGTGATTCTCTTGTATCTGCTACAAATGCTGCTATCATAACACTACTGAAATAATATCGTGAAAAGATCATTTTTTCATCATAGTTTATACTGATGATTGAAGAAACTCTGAATTCTCTTTTAAGTCACTTGTTCTGATATAATTGCTTTACAATGTAGAATTGAACTTCAATTTTTTATTGTAGACCCAAGGTGGATGAGAGCAAGGACCCAAATGATTCTCTAATGGACATGTTGAAGCAGATGTATGAGGATGGCGATGATGAAATGAAGAAGAACATCAGCAAAGCTTGGAGTGATTCTCGCAACAAGCAGAGTGTCATCTAACAATTAAACTGTCATTGTCCTGTGTATCTGAGGCTCATTATGACTGTATTCTGATAAAAAAGCTTCCAATGATTTCACATCTGCTATGAATCGTTGTACCGTTTACTTTGTGATCAATTTCTTTTGATTTATGGATTGTGTTTCTGTGATAAAGTACACCCAGAGAATTTCATTTCATGTTGAATCATTTCTCATTTGATAAAAGAAACTTGAAAGTCATTTGATGTCATCAGTCCCAAATGATTCTAATAAATTCAACATTTTGTACAATTACTGTGTCAGAGTGCTTTATCCTAGAAGTATACTTGCCCACGGTATGTCACTTCTTATTAAATTTGATCTGGTCATAATATTACAATATTTTCAGTTTGTAAATTGGATTTGGGCAAGACATGGACGTGACTCGTCCTTTTTAAATGAATTCTCATTTTTTAATTTCTTTTTGTGGACTTTGGATATTCTTATGAACGATGTAAAACTTTGCTTAAGGAGGTATGTTCCTCCCTTTTCTCAACATTTCCTCCATTTACTCGAATCAGCAATCACATCATTTTGCTACAGGTATAGCTACAATAATAAATAAAGGGTGATCCTACATTCCTTATGTAGAACTTTGTGGTAGAGCCTTAAGTCAGATCCGGATACAGTTCCTTACAATGAAAGTTTGAGATTTCCTTTTTATTTATTAAGTGCAGCTACAGTCGATACAAAAAACCTCTTATTCATTAGCATCCTCATATCTGTTTTATTAAACTTCAATCAAAATAGCACAGGAAACATCATACCAGTGTATATCACCATCTTTTTATAATTGTATATAAATACATAATGCTGATAAACACAAATGTGAAAAACAGTTTTACATAAAAAAGAAAGAAAAAAATCACCGGTTAATTTCTCTCTTAAAAAGCAATACAATGATATAGATATACAAAATATAGAAACTTTTCAAAAGTTCTGATACATAATAAACTCACTTTGATCATAAGAAATAGCAGTTTAAAGCAAAGAAACATATATATTGAATAGTATATCTTTTCAAAATTCCTTCAAATCAGTGAAATAATATCAGTTCAGATATTTGATTTATCGTCAAAAGTATCTGAGCTTGAGCACAAAATGTGTATTTGAGCAAAAGTATGTTTCTTGAATATGGGCCCTAATGTCACTTTTCACTGTGTGTCATCATCACAATAAAAGATCCAAATGTGTTCACTATAATATATACCCTTCAAAAATATCAAAAATTTATGTCATGCTTGACAAATATAGAATTTTGTAGGATGTATCTTTTTGAATCAATATTTTGCATCCTCCTGTTAATATTACAGAAAAAGGTGCCTCTCAAGTACATACTCTGATATGTAGATATTGCTTATCTTCATACTATGTAGATATTGCTTATCTTCATACTATGTAGATATTGCTTATCTTCATACTATGTAGATATTGCTTATCTTCATACTATGTAGATATTGCTTATCTTCATACTACAAGTAGACTTCTGATACTCTTCTATACATACCTATTGTATAAGCATTAGTAATAAAATGATATATAAATATCACTTATTCAGCATTACATACTTGTTATCTGAGTGATCTACTATAATATAAAGAAATCCAACCCATAGCACAGTAAACTGATATAACAGATTAATAGAATCTGTCACCCCCTTGCATGGGAGATAGGGTTGAGATCACCTCGCCTTAAATGGGGTGAATGAATAAAAGAATCTGTTACCCCCTTGCATGCGAGATAGGGTTGAGATCACCTCGCCTTAAATGGGGTGAATGAATAAAAGAATCTGTTACCCCCTTGCATGCGAGATAGGGTTGAGATCACCTCGCCTTAAATGGGGTGAATGATTATTTTTCTGATACCTATTTGAGCTGGTGCACATGTTTTTATCTCGATTGTTGACTTGACATTATTGAATGGTTGTGACATCATACCATTATCCTTGCAAGGAAATTCCCCATCTACCCTACATTATTACAAGGAAATCTCACCCCATTCAAAGTGTGGATATACCTGTCTTGGATAAGAGAAAAATGGATACTTCTCCACTCACCTGCATGAATGGTTATCTAAAAGTCTGAGGGTTATGACTGGTTGTCATAAACATTTACTGTAATAAAGTGTAATTCTGCCATACAATGCAATGCATACATGTGTCTTTACATATAGTACATACACAGTGTAGAACATCTTTTACTAATATAATGTAACATATACTGATTAAATGCCTGCCATTTATGATGTGGACAAGTAAAACAAATAAAAAGGATTGTGACATCTGCCAAAGGTTTAGTACAATGTACAAAGACTCATTGTGAGACCAGATCGTTTTGGTGATACAGTGAAAACAGCACCAATATGCCAGAATGTCCTCTGATGATAGATCTTGGGAATGTCTGCCAGCCTGTGATGACTAGTATCTCAAGCTCGATATTACCATGTCATGGTGATGTATTTAATTAAAACAATAGCTTTTAAACATTCTACATTGTATGTAAACATGATATACTAAAGATACGTACATGCATCTGAAACATGCAACAGAATTTGGACATGTTAATATCATAAACTATTTAAATGATAAACCCATTCCCACTGGTAAAATTCATCATATACATAATGAACACATTCCCACTGGTAAAATTCATCATATACTTACACATAATGAACACATTCTCACTGGTAAAATTCATTATATACTTACACATAATGAACACATTCTCACTGGTAAAATTCATCATATACTTACACATAATGAACACATTCTCACTGGTAAAATTCATCATATACTTACACATAATGAACACATTCTCACTGGTACAATTCATCATATACTTAATGAACACAATCTCACTGGTAAAATTCATCATATACTTAATGAACACATTCTCACTGGTAAAATTCATCATATACTTAATGAACACATTCTCACTGGTAAAATTCATCATATACATAATGAACACATTCTCACTGGTAAAATTCATCATATACTTACACATAATGAACACATTCCCACTGGTAAAATTCATCATATACTTAATTAACACATTCCCACTGGTAAAATTCATCATATACATAATGAACACATTCTCACTGGTAAAATTCATCATATACATAATGAACACATTCCCACTGGTAAAATTCATCATATACATAATGAACACATTCTCACTGGTAAAATTCATCATATACATAATGAACACATTCCCACTGGTAAAATTCATCATATACTTACACATAATGAACACATTCTCACTGGTAAAATTCATCATATACATAATGAACACATTCCCACTGGTAAAATTCATCATATACATAATGAACACATTCTCACTGGTAAAATTCATCATATACATAATGAACACATTCCCACTGGTAAAATTCATCATATACTTAATTAACACATTCCCACTGGTAAAATTCATCATATACATAATGAACACATTCTCACTGGTAAAATTCATCATATACTTAATTAACACATTCCCACTGGTAAAAATAACTGTATACCCATTTCTACAAGTGAAAAACATACATCAGTACATACTCATTCTTAGATCTTTACTAGTTACAGTGAAGAAAAGTTTGATTACTTAATCATCAACTCATGTGAATCCTATATTTTATCTAATTATCACCCTTTGATGTAGTGTTTGTTTACCATATCCTCAGCAACAACAAAAACTTTTTCCATGTATAGATTCTGTATATGTAATAAGCACATTAGGGAAAATAAAATGTTTCACATTTCAACTTACTTTTTTGAACAAAAGAGGATCTTGACACCACTGTGTATGATCATTAAAAATTTCATGTTTTTCTTCTTACCTCTTTATTTCTCTTAATAACACAAATTTTAGAATTCTTCTTCCAAATAGCAATAATAACCTTAAAATGTCAAATCCAATATGGTGGTCTGTCGGCCATTTTATTATTCTGATCAATTCTGAACTGGACAATGCACAACAAGGCTAGAAAACAAAGACAACCTATAGATGAAATTTGAAAAATATCCATTCTACATGATAAAACAACAACAAATTTTCATTGTCAAAACCCAAGATGGCCGTCTGTCAGTAACTTTGTTTTTCTGATCAGTCCTTTGGGACCAAAGGAAACCTTCATATACATTGTGAGAAATATCCATCTAGTGTTTCTCAAGAAATATCCATAATAAGAAGGACTGAAAAAAATGGACCACTGATATAAGGTGATTTAAACAGCCCACCATCTAATGATTAGGGGCTAGAAAAGGTGATTGGAGCTTGTTTCCTAAAATAACACACATAACTGGAACTATTAAGGTGTGAAACGTACAGATCCATTGGTCTGATATCATTGGCTGAAAGATTTGTAGCAGGATAAGAAAATTTCATCCTATTGTCATACATATAGGACAATTAAAATTCAAATGTTGATTAGCATTTGGTATGGAAGGATACATTTGTGATGGACATTGTGTAAGAAATGATTTGGCCCCTACAGAGGTAAAGCAGATTATGCTTACAGCTCTAAAAGAATCTTATACATTTAGGAATCAAACAAGGCACTTAATACACAGTTCAGTAACAGTGATCATGTCAATAATTATACAGCAATCTCTATGATGTTTCTGGTAACTTTGACAGTACAACATTAAGGCTACAAAGTAAATTGATCTAATATTTATACCTTATGAAAACAGAGATGACAGAGAGTAAGGTGTGTTTAACAACAATGACCTTGACTTTTGTGTGTCAAGGTACATTCACAATTTCGGTCATTCATATAAAAAATCACAGCTTTCGTGATCATGTACTTGTATTGAATTTATGATTAAAATACAATTAGATTGTAATAAACAACATAAAAACTTAATGACCTGATATCAGAAGGAATAAATGTATCATTAGTTATTTTTGCAGTGATGATATTAAACACATATTTAAAAACATGTATATAAGATTTGATCATTTTGAAAGAATATCACAAAAATTTTACGTTTGAAAATAACCAACAATACAGTAGTAGAAATCAAACCATTTACACTGATACAACGTTGTAGTTGCACTCATCTCTTTTTAGCAAAATAAGGTGTAAGATTATGAATCAATTGTAAATCAGTAAAACTAATGTACATATGTGTTATATCACAGGAACCTTCCACATTTTGTAACAATTTACTAAAATAGATCCTATTGGAGCAAACATCAATTAAAGTGTAAACAGCAGCATTATAAGTAATATACATCAGCTGATTTGGTCATCTTTGACCAGTACTGTATCAAGTCCATTACGATCTATACACACTTGTACCTGGGCCAGGATGCCCTTTAGACGCCTGTCAAGAGCTCCATAGTGATACTTCCACAGAACTGGACTGATAGGATCCTGGTTCAGGATTTTCCGCAGGACCTCAGAGAGGACCCCATCCTGTAGGATCAGTAACCTCTGCCAGGTCCTGAAACGGATCCTAAATTAAAAAAAAAAAAAATAATGATTTAATACTTAATGAAAATACATGTAATAACAAGAAATGATAGCAATATATTACACATAACCTGAAGTCCAAAGGACTTTTCAGTCATCCAAATGAATCTTTAACTTTTGTTATCCTAAAATGAACTCTCTTTGAAAACGGGATGTAAAACAAGAATAAAAAGTGTGATGAAGATTTCTCATTTTAGCTCAAGTGTCAGTATACACTTGAAACAGAAACACAATTTATCTAGAGCATCTTGATGTCTACATCTTATTGGGTAGACACTATAATCCTTGCCTTATAAGATTAAGTTTAGTTTAGACAAAATCCATCAATAATTTGATTGAAACATTAACACTTTTGAGAAAGCTGTGGAAGACTAAGGTTGATGTCAGATTCTGGTTAGGTCTAGTACAAGTTGTCTTGTTTTTATTGATTTACAGATCTAGACTGAGAGATTATTCTAAACTTTGCTGTTAACAGGTCAAAATACCAACCTGCAACACTGGTAAAGAGGCGCCAGTATGGATTCCTCATCTTTGAAAGGATTACCAAAACTGTAAAACAAATATATCAAAAGAATGTGTTTTTAAATCTCTGCGGTTTTATGAATCAGAAGAATATTAATAAAAAAGCAATTGGACAATAGCAGGTTTATAACTGTTTATAAAAATCAAACCAATGATTACAGTCATGAATAAATCCTTCAATTTCAACAAAGCAATGGTTAGACTTTTAATAAAACAATGTTATGAATGCATTGTATAATGAAGTAATGATTGCACCAAAAAGAAGACAATACAGATGTATGATTTGGCTAATATAAAGCAATGATTAGGCTAGTGCTAGGCACTGACTGGGATAATAAAAGACAATGTATAAGTATTATTGGAATAAAACAAGGCAAGGTTCAACAACGTTATGATTGGACCAACTTAAGGAAAGGAATGGGCTTTTTTGGGCTTATTTCTAACAATTATTGGGCTAACATAAGCCAAGGATTGGACCCAATTTTGGCAATGATTAGGCTAATAAGGCAATGATTGGATGAACATCAAGCAATGATCAGACAAACAAGGCAGATAAATAAATCAAATGATTGAACTAACAAGGCAATGACTGGACAAACAAGACAATGGTTGAACCAGCTAAAGGCAATGATTGAACTAACAAGGCCATGATTGAACTAACAAGGCAATGACTGGACAAACAAGACAATGATTGAACTAACAAGGCAATGATTGGACACATTAATTAGGTAATGATTGAACTAACAATGCAATGATTGGACAAACAAGACAATGGTTGAACCAGCTACAGGCAATGATTGGACTAAGAAGGCAATGATTGAACTAACAAGGCATGATCTCATAGTGATAAAATTTTACAGCTATATCAATTAAGTCCAGCAGCCTTGGACCGCTCCTGTACATGTCTAACCTATCATCTACACACAGTGTATAATATCCATACACACACACAGTGTGAACATCTCTGTAAACAGGGTATGATCCCTACATACAGTGTATAATATCCATCTACACACAGTGTGATCTCTGTAAACAGGGTATGATCCCTACACACAGTGTGATCTCTGTAAACAGGGTATGATCCCTACATACAGTGTATAATATCCATACACACAGTGTGATCTCTGTAAACAGGGTATGATCCCTACATACAGTGTATAATATCCCTACACACAGTGTGATCTCTGTAAACAGGGTATGATCCCTACACACAGTGTATAATATCCATACATACAGTGTATAATATCCCTACACTCATTGTGATCTCTGTACACACAGTGTGATCTCTGTAAACAGGGTACACACATGATCCCTACACACAGTGTGTGTATACACACAATATCCTACACACAGTGTGATCTCTGTAAACAGGGTATGATCCCTACACACAGTGTATAATATCCCTACACACAGTGTGATCTCTGTAAACAGGGTATGATCCCTACACACAGTGTATAATATCCATACACACAGTGTGATCTCTGTAAACAGGGTATGATCCCTACATACAGTGTATAATATCCATACACACAGTGTGATCTCTGTAAACAGGGTATGATCCCTACATACAGTGTGATCTCTGTAAACAGGGTATGATCCCTACACACAGTGTATAATATCCACACAGTGTGATCTCTGTAAACAGGGTATATCAACACACAGTGTGATCTCTGTAAACAGGGTATGATCCCTACACACAGTGTATAATATCCATACACACAGTGTGATCTCTGTAAACAGGGTATGATCCCTACACACAGTGTATAATATCCCTACACACAGTGTATAATATCCATACACACAGTGTGATCTCTGTAAACAGGGTATGATCCCTACACACAGTGTATAATATCCATACACACAGTGTGATCTCTGTATGATCCCTACACACAGTGTGATCTCTGTAAACAGGGTATGATCCCTACATACAGTGTATAATATCCATACACACAGTGTGATCTCTGTAAACAGGGTATGATCCCTACACACAGTGTGATCTCTGTAAACAGGGTATGATCCCTACACACAGTGTATAATATCCATACACACAGTGTGATCTCTGTAAACAGGGTATGATCCCTACACACAGTGTGATCTCTGTAAACAGGGTATGATACACACAGTGTATAATATCCTACACACAGTGTACACACAGTGTGATCTACACACAGTGTGTAAGTGTACATATATCCCTACACACAGTGTGATCTCTGTAAACAGGGTATGATCCCTACACACAGTGTGATCTCTGTAAACAGGGTATGATCCCTACACACAGTGTATAATATCCATACATACAGTGTATAATATCCATACACACAGTGTGATCTCTGTAAACAGGGTATGATCCCTACATACAGTGTATAATATCCATACACACAGTGTGATCTCTGTAAACAGGGTATGATCCCTACACACAGTGTATAATATCCATACACACAGTGTGATCTCTGTAAACAGGGTATGATCCCTACATACAGTGTATAATATCCATACACACAGTGTGATCTCTGTAAACAGGGTATGATCCCTACACACAGTGTATAATATCCATACACACAGTGTGATCTCTGTAAACAGGGTATGATCCCTACATACAGTGTATAATATCCATACACACAGTGTGATCTCTGTAAACAGGGTATGATCCCTACACACAGTGTATAATATCCATACACACAGTGTGATCTCTGTAAACAGGGTGTATAATATCCATACACACAGTGTGATCTCTGTAAACAGGGTATGATCCCTACACACAGTGTATAATATCCATACACACAGTGTGATCTCTGTAAACAGGGTATGATCCCTACACACAGTGTATAATATCCATACACACAGTGTGAACACACTGAAACAGGGTATGATCCCTACACACAGTGTATAATATCCATACACACAGTGTGATCTCTGTAAACAGGGTATGATCCCTACACACAGTGTATAATATCCATACACACAGTGTGATCTCTGTAAACAGGGTATGATCCCTACATACAGTGTATAATATCCATACACACAGTGTGATCTCTGTAAACAGGGTATGATCCCTACACACAGTGTGTGTATAATATCCATACACACAGTGTGATCTCTGTAAACAGGGTATGATCCCTACACACAGTGTATAATATCCATACACACAGTGTGATCTCTGTAAACAGGGTCCCTACACACAGTGTATAATATCCTACACACAGTGTGTAAACAGGGTATGATCTACACACAGTGTGATCTCTGTAAACAGGGTATGATCCCTACACACAGTGTATAATATCCATACTCACATGTGATCTCTGTAAACAGGGTATGATCCCTACACACAGTGTATAATATCCCTACACACAGTGTGACACAGTGTATAATATCTCTACACACAGTGTGATCTCTGTAAACAGGGTATGATCCCTACACACAGTGTGATCTCTGTAAATAGGGTATGATCCCTACACACAGTGTGATCTCTGTAAATAGGGTATGATCCCTACACACAGTGTATCCATACACACAGTGTGATCATACACACAGTGTGATCTCTGTAAACAGGGTACACACATGATCTGTAAACCTACACACAGTGTATAATATACACACCATACACACAGTGTGATCTCTGTAAACAGGTTCTTATCCATACACACAGTGTGATCTCTGTAAACAGGGTATGATCCCTACATACAGTGTGATCTCTGTAAACAGGGTATGATCCCTACACACAGTGTATAATATCCATACACACAGTGTGATCTCTGTAAACAGGGTATGATCCCTACATACAGTGTATAATATCTCTACACACAGTGTGATCTCTGTAAACAGGGTATGATCTCTGTAAACAGGGTATGATCCCTACACACAGTGTATAATATCCCTACATACAGTGTATAATATCCATACACACAGTGTGATCTCTGTAAACAGGGTATGATCCCTACATACAGTGTATAATATCCATACACACAGTGTGATCTCTGTAAACAGGTTATGATCCCTACACACAACAATATCTCTACACACAGTGTGATCTCTGTAAACAGGGTATGATCCCTACACACAGTGTGATCTCTGTAAACAGGGTATGATCCCTACATACAGTGTATAATATCTCTACACACAGTGTGATCTCTGTAAACAGGGTATGATCCCTACATACAGTGTATAATATCTCTACACACATGTGATCTCTGTAAACAGGGTATGATCCCTACACACAGTGTGATCTCTGTAAACAGGGTATGATCCCTACACACAGTGTGATCTCTGTAAACAGGGTATGATCCCTACACACAGATCCCTACACACAGTGTGATCTCTGTAAACAGGGTATGATCCCTACACACAGTGTGATCTCTGTAAACAGGGTATGATCCCTACATACAGTGTATAATATCCATACACACAGTGTGATCTCTGTAAACAGGGTATGATACACACAGTGTATCTCTACACACAATATCCTACACACAGTGTGATCTCTGTAAACAGGGTATCCATACACACAGTGTGATCTCTGTAAACAGTACATACAGTGTATAATATCCATACACACAGTGTGATCTCTGTAAACAGGGTATGATCCCTACATACAGTGTATAATATCCATACACACAGTGTGATCTCTGTAAACAGGGTATGATCCCTACATACAGTGTATAATATCTCTACACACAGTGTGATCTCTGTAAACAGGGTATGATCCCTACAGTGTATAATATCTCTACACACAGTGTGATCTCTGTAAACAGGGTATGATCCCTACACACAGTGTATAATATCCATACATACAGTGTGATCTCTGTAAACAGGGTATGATCCCTACACACAGTGTGATCTCTGTAAACAGGGTATGATCCCTACACACAGTGTGATCTCTGTAAACAGGGTATGATCCCTACACACAGTGTATAATATCCATACACACAGTGTGATCTCTGTAAACAGGGTATGATCCCTACACACAGTGTGATCTCTGTAAACAGGGTATGATCCCTACATACAGTGTATAATATCCCTACACACAGTGTGATCTCTGTAAACAGGGTATGATCCCTACACACAGTGTATAATATCCATACACACAGTGTGATCTCTGTAAACAGGGTATGATCCCTACACACAGTGTGATCTCTGTACACACAGTGTGATCTCTGTAAACAGGGTATGATCCCCACATACAGGGTATAATATCCCTACACACAGTGTATAATATCTCTACACACAGTGTGATCTCTGTAAATAGGGTATGATCCCTACATACAGTGTATAATATCCATACACACAGTGTGATCTCTGTAAACAGGGTATGATCCCTACACACAGTGTGATCTCTGTAAACAGGGTATGATCCCTACACACAGTGTATAATATCCATACTCACATGTGATCTCTGTAAACAGGGTATGATCCCTACACACAGTGTGATCTCTGTAAACAGGGTATGATCCCTACACACAGTGTATAATATCCATACACACATGTCTGTAAACAGGGTGATCCCTACACACATCTCTGTGTATATCCCTAGATCCATACACACAGTGTGATCTCTGTAAACAGGGTATGATCCCTACACACAGTGTATAATATCCATACACACAGTGTGATCTCTGTAAACAGGGTATGATCCCTACACACAGTGTATAATATCCATACTCACATGTGATCTCTGTAAACAGGGTATGATCCCTACACACAGTGTATAATATCCATACACACAGTGTGATCTCTGTAAACAGGGTATGATCCCTACATACAGTGTATAATATCCATACACACAGTGTGATAATATCCATACACACAGTGTGATCTCTGTAAACAGGGTATGATCCCTACACACAGTGTGATCTCTGTAAACAGGGTATGATCCCTACACACAGTGTGATCTCTGTAAACAGGGTATGATCCCTACACACATACAGTATGATCTCTGTCCATGGTGTGATCTCTGTACACAGGGAATGATCTCTGTTCTATATATGAATTGTCTAAATAACCTATGTGGTACCCTGTAATACAGGTGATTGTTTTAGTTATTATAGTTGTCTTTTATTCGTGTCCATTCGCATAAGCATCGGCTACTTTTGTTTTGTCAAATGTATATATATAGTAGGCCCGGAATAGGCATACTATTGTTGTTGGTTACATATTGTACTGGACAATGACTGACCACTTGACCTGTGACATGCGCTGTTCAATTCTATCTTCCTTTTCCCGCCTAACCTTTCTCTACTTTATTACTTCTGATTTTGGGCTCGAACTGGAAAGATATGTTTTGTTCTCATCTTACATTACTTGATGTCCGTCGTGCCATACACGGGGGATTTCTAAAGCTGTGAATGTACGGTAAATATGTAATGACATCGTATGGTTCAGTTGGTTATTGAAGAAAAGAAACCCCTAAATTCCGACTGTTCTACACCTACATATACCAGTAAAGACAGTATATAGTCTACATTTGTATAGTTTACACATGAATGTGTCATAAACTTGTCTTTTACTGTCAAAATGGGAATCATATTACACGTTTGTGTGCTTTTAATTAGTTTAGCAATATCACTAGTGCAGGTAATAGTTAATCAATATTTAACAAGCCAGATGATTAAATGTACTAACTGTGATCTTGTGTATGGCATTGATGCTCTGAGCCGTGTATGTTTACATCATACTCCAGGGTGATACCAGATAACAACAGAATGAGCATGTCTTTATCTATTATAGTGGTATCATGTTAGACTGATGTTGATTGAGAACCTTGAGTGATTCCATGTGATGGCCATCCCTCTTGAATTATTGATAAAAAAGATGAAACGGGATATGTTGTAAAAACTATTAGAATCATTCAACAGACTATAGTGTAAAAGAGAACTTATATGATGAGAATCTGAAATCTATATACAATGAACAAGTAAGTGACACACACTATAGATATGCTTAAATACTTATTATAAAATGATACGATAAAGTTTGTTATGTACTTGGCCCTTGTTTTGACCCTTTCACCCTTGTTATAACTGGTCATTACCAGATATTTCACCTCAAGAGGTTGGCAATATTAATATGGTTAAAGATAACATATTCATTTCTCTGGTTCTATGGTTTACATCTAAACTGTAAAGACAAGTAGAAATTCAGTCAAACTAAAAATCTACTAGCGACCTTGACCTTGGTTTACTGGTGACAATGAAGATGTTGAAATCCCACTCTCTCCCATCACTTCCCATTTTCCCCTCCTCATTTTCCTATCTTTTCTCATCAGCTAAAAAGCCATAATAGTGGACATAAAACCTGTTCAATAGATAAATAAAGATATTGAAACAGAGGTGTTGAATGGTAGGCAAACGGATGGATGAACGGAGGGACAGGCAAACTGACACCAATGCACTGTGATTACCATAGGACAGCCTTGTTTTATGTAGGACATCTGATTGCAGGCTTCTGCTTTTATGGTCCTTTAGCCTTTCAGCACACAAGTATTCTTCATAACAAACATGTTTACAGTGTACATAAGTTACCAACCTGGCCTTGTACTCTCTGTAAGTACGCTTCCATGGGTGGTTGTGATTAAATAATTCATATGTGGAAGGAAGCCACAACATAACAACTCCCTCCATTATATCGCCGTCCCCACACACACCCGTCGACTCACCCCGACAATAATGACACATTCCATAAAAACAGGTGTTGTTTCCTAAAACAAAAAAAAGGAAATTAGAGCAGGCATCACTCCTCATTCTCACTTTATCTGTGTTCACCATGCATCATGTCTCGGGGTAGACATCAGTTTTAGCAATGACGGCACTCCTCCCATCAAGTTCTGTGTATTATCAGATTTGAATACAAATTACAGTGCTGATTACTGTATACCAAGAAACAGTTGTTCAGATATTCTTTTACCTTTGTAGAAAACTATTCATTGTTGCCTAGTCTTTAATTCACCTTTCTGATACAGGTACATGTACTATGTAACATCTGTTTCGACCTAAACTTGTCCATTTCTTGCCCTTATCCTATTGACAAAAGGGTGAAAGTTTCCCAGTATCACAGTACTTATAGACACAGGTAATAGAGATATTGTAGTAAAGAAAAATATTGTAAGATGAATTTGGACCTCTTACTCTGTATATAAAATTAGATAACAAAAAGATATGGCAATCACATTTAAAAGACTTACAACTTTTGACATTTGACCCTTAATTTTAATCTTTATCTTTAATTTACAGGATGGACCCAAAGTAATGCATGCACCAATTGTCTAACTTATAAAGACAAGCATAACTTAAAAGTTTAATTTCAAAGTAAACTCTTTTGGTAATAGTAAGGACAGTAGTATATAGGCCAGAAAAAGATTGACCTTTGACCCCATATTGTCCAAGATTGACCTTTGTTCTGATGTATCACACGCCATTTAGAAATGACAAGAACATCTAGCATTTAAATGTCTAAAATAATTTCTGATTTCCAGATTCTTTATCACACAGACTGTAGTATGTAGCTAGTGTTTTATCTTGGTACTTTATGTGTGCTTACCTCTGGTGAAGAAAGTGTTCTTTAGTCTGCTTGTGGCATATGGCAGAATCTCTGTTCTAAGGTTGATCCTCCGTCCAATCACTAAAGGAGTTCTGTTGAATTCCAATAACCTGTGTTTAAAAATACATACAGTCAGGGATTCAAAGGTTTTCAAGATCTCTGATAAAAGATTCATGGCCTTTATGTGTAAACTGACAAATACCAGAAGAGAAAAGGCCAATGGGCTGCACAGTCTTCTGACAATGAATACTTTAAGACCATCTATGTCTTGAACATTGTCATTTGGTTCCACATTTTCCTGCATTATTTTAAGAATTTGACTTGCCCAAGACATGACCAAATAAACAAGCAATCCCAATGTGTAGCATATATCTCCCTGCTCCTGGCTGTTGGCATGAAAAAAAATAGACATTTATGTAATTTATAGTAAGCTAATATGTTGATGTAGTGTAACGGAGGTCATTTTTCATCTCAATGCCTCCGCTAGGAATCGAACCCGGGACCCCTGGCTTACTAGTCTGACGCTCAACCAATCGAGCTAAAGAGAAGTTCTCTCTAGCCGAGTGGTATATTGCAGCTAGCATTTTACCAGGGTTACAGTAGTCTTTGTGTCTTCATTGTTGATGTTTAACAAGTCAGAATACCTTGCAAACGGTATAATACTATCAATAGCATAAGGCACATCTAGGATTAGGTCAATGACATTGTATCATTTATAATCTTTATAAATATTGAGGAATTAAGAAATAACATTCAAAGTCCTATACTGGTATAAACCGTCTGAAAATTTACCCCTGGGGTCATATGGGGGACTCTAGGAACTATGGTTATCATTACCCACTAAGATACCTCCAGTCAATACCACAGCTCTACATTGAAAAACTGGTTTACCTAGGGTTTTTCGCACTTTTCTACTATAGTTTTTAATCAAAACTGTAAAGAGTTTGTACAGAACCTTAAACTTACCAACTTTTCGGAATTTTCAAGTATTTGACCATTAACCTCAATGTTTCAGTTATGGTTATTGTTGCTTTATATCCTAGTAACAGCTTGGGTGTATAGAACCATTTAAGGACATGCCTGTCTTGGGTGGCGGAGGAATGCCAGGGCTCCCTGGCAAAAACCACTGATTTGCAGCCAGTACCTGGCAACTGGCCCCTGTAGGCCACAAACCCTAGTGATAAAGACAGTGAGACTCATTAACCACTCAGCCACTGCAGCCCAAACCTCAATGTTAACTTGATTTTGAGGGCATGTATCTAAATAAAGCATGTGACAAACCTGCAGCTAGTACATAGCAACTGCCTCAACTAGGCCTCAAACCCTAGTGATAAAGACAGTGAGACACCTTAACCACTCAGCCACTGCAGCCCAAACCTCAATGTTAACTAGATCTTGAGGGCATGTATCTAAATATAGCATGTGACAAAATTTAGCTTTCCATCTTACATTTACACTTGATATTTCATTGATCTACCTATGTTCTGATAATGAATTGGACCGTTAATCTAAAGGTGACCTTGAGTTTGAGGGAATGGACCAGAAATGGTACACTCAGTGACTTTCCCATCAACATGTACATGTATCCATGAAATTCCTTTGACATATCCTTAGCATGTCAGAAATTTTGGGCCTAGACAAGAAACTAAGATAGTCTAGAAGTTTAATGTGATGTGAAATTGACCTATCATCAGCTAATCAGCAATTTTACCCTGACCATACACCAAACTGATACTTATCCACTAACCGTCCTATATGGAAGGCAGCTACCTCTCCATTGTGTCTGTCCCAGCCCTCAAAAGGACCATCAGTGAAAATTGTTTCCCGAGAATACCTGTTACACAACAAAAACAAATTTTATTAATGTAAAAACCAAACCAAACCTTTTCTATAGAATAACTCAAAATTTATCATACAACAATCACAAATGTTAAACCGATTTAATGTTTCATCTTAATTCTACAATCATCATCACACAAACACGATTCTCCATAAAGTGCCAGTACCAATGGTCATATTTACCATTTAGGTTTGAAGATAATTCTTTGGCCGTCATTCACTTTCAAGGTAAGTTTAAGCTGGGTCCCTCTTCTGTTTACATCTGCTGACTGTATGCTTGCTTTGGTCATTGCATGAAGGACTGAACCTGCAATTTGAAGAGTTTCATTGTAATCACTTTTTCAAAATACAAAGCTTAACTCATTGTCATCAAATGTATTTGTCTTCACTGGTACATTTATATTTAGAATCATTCTGTCTTCTGTTAAGTCGTAAGTAGAAAGACAAACTAAGGATTTGAGATGATCTTGTGTTTCAAGTGTGTTGAAGAGTTACACATGACAGACGATACAATACCACCAGTTATAAATATATACTGTTATCAGAACTTATTGTTGGAGGTGACAGAACCGATAATTTTTCTATATCCTTGACTGGCGGAAATTTCCCTTCAGTCTGGCAGTAAGGCATCAACCTAGAGAATGACAGGTTGCTAAGTAAGTTTGATCCTTAGTGGTGGAAAAGTATATTTCACAAGATTACTGTCATAAATCAATTTTTAAAATTCATATGCGGTATCCATATTTACTTTAAATAGGAAATAAGTTTATCTTTGAGATCTTTCTTTATTCTAATGATTGTTTGGGCCGATAAAACTTAAAAAAAAAAAATTCCCTTGTTGATTTTCACATATTTTGGTCTAAAGTATCATTGATAAGTCTTAAAGGACATACTAGCTTAATAGGTACCTATAGTGTATCTATCACTAAACTCATACTTTGAAATAATACACCTATGTGTCTTATGTACATTGTTTATATGAATCAATGTAACTCCTTGCATGTAGAATACATGGTCAGTGTCTTAAATGTAAGCTGTGTTTTTGGTGATGATGAAGAAAGTTCAAATTGAAGAGCCTCTGACAAGCGACTTTTGTCTTTCTGTCTCGAGCCAAAATACAGTTTATATTTTAAGACATTAGCCATGTATTCTATTATTATTATTGAAACTTCAACCTTTTGTCATTCAATCTTCGTCAACTTGAACACCAAAGTAATTTGTACCACATGGAAATGCACATGTAGCCCTAAACTTCATTGGATAAAAGACCAATTTTATGAATTTTATTCATAACAACATATGAAATTGTTTTTTATAGTTATTTGTATTTTGAAATGCGATATTGAAGTAAATCAGAACGTGTTACACATGCTTAAATACAGCTGTTTTACCTCACTGCCAAATACAGCAAAACGATATATTGCCAATGTATTTTGACAATGGCAGTGCATTTGCTGGATATAAACGACTATCAATACTCTCTAATGGATGATAACATTACCAAATATGGTTAACCCTTACGAAACATTAGTAACTGTCAAACATTAACAGAGCAAGGGTGTATTTAGAGTGGTTACATAACAAATTGCCTCTAAGACTGAATCTAGATGCCCCTGTATCTAATGGTAGTATTAAGTTGTTAAGGTACATTTGATGAATGTGGGTGTATTGAGTGAAACAAGATAAGATGTAGACGATGCTGGAACACAGACACGTATCCTGTCAGAAAGTCACTGACAATCTGTACTAAATCAAACAACAGAGATGTTCTATAATAGTCTAAGTGCAGGAATCCTGATTTATACATGTTTGGCATTGCATCCTTTTGAAGAGGTTTAACTCCATTAGTCAATCTGTTCCTTGGGATGAACTTTTACCATTGTCATACTGTCATAACCCCCATTATATAAATTGTACAATGAACACATGTATAATAACAATGTTGTGAGTGACTCAATCAGTTCCCAATGTTTAATGGCAATAGATTTTACACAGCGGCTCCAAATTATGATGCAACTTTAAACGGAGTGCCTTAAAATCAAAACACAACACTTAAGATTTAAAACCAGTATGATGGCATTTTATTTTCAAGACTGTGACAAAAGGACTAATAAGTCAACAGATTCTAAGATTAATTATTACTTCACATAAGATTGATATCATCACCATGAGAAACCTCTAAAACACTGACATTTCACCATTACTAGCAGATAAAGGAATGATCATCACTCTGGACCAGTTCCAAAATTGCAAAACCAATTTGCAAGTGAATACAAGATCTGTAAATAAAGACACCAACACTTAATTCTTTATATGAAATGATTTCAAAATATCTTTATTCTTTATTTAGATCAATTAAGAACCAGTAAAATGATAACAATAATTTTCTGATTCAACATTTGTCATACATGTAGTAACCTTGACCTCTGTCTTAATTTAAGCCTGCTATCATGAATAGGAGAGTTCATCAGTTCCTTATATTACATGTACTAGCTTTGTGAGATCAATTGTTCAGAAGTTGTTATTGAGACAAGAAATATATATGATAAGACAAGTGGACAGATGGATATTTGATAATAATCCCAATGTTCAGCCTGCCAATATTTTAAGAATTAAGTTCAGCTGTTCATTCTTGTCCAAACAGAAGGATTTAAATATGTTTCCTCTCTCTGTGTGCCTACTGCTATGTCCAGCACTCTGATCTTTTTCTCTAAAATAAAGTTAGGCTACTCTTAACAACATCCCCAGTAATGTTAACTTTACTGTGGTGTAATCTACTTAGGAGAAGATGGATACTAAACAAAATGTTATAACAATGCTGTTGTACTCTGTATAATACATGTATATTAAAGTGTGGTATAATTGTATTGAAATATTCTCAGATAACATTTTCTACCAAGATCAGTTATCATGTGCCTTGGAAAATCTGAAACAAATACAGCATTGCACTTTCGAAGAGTTGTCATTGACATTGTCTGTAATATGATAGAATCAAATGATATTGAGTAAGGACAGGAATTCAATTTGTTTAATTAACAAATACATAAAAAAATAATGAAATTTGGTGTGAATTGTATTGTTCATCAACCTCATACTCTATCGATCTTAGTTGACATCAGCAGGTCACATGATCCAGCATTTGAGTAAAGACAGATGTAATGAGTAATATGTTTCATGGATCTGATTGTGTTCTTGACATAAGACCATGACACTGACTCTTCTGGGAAACTCAGTAAAAAATGTGTTATCTTTGAGTCCTTGCCCTGTCATCGATGTTTAGAGTACAAACTTTCAATGGCTTTCTTCTGTTCTTTGTGTGGCCATGTTATAATATAATAGTACTGGATACAAACAAATGCCTATATATATATATATCCATATCAGATGTTCTGTGACATTGTAATATTAATCTCATCATTGTCAATTTCATGACTGAAAAAAATTCCTGTTGTCCACAGTACTTTTCCAGCCCAGCTTTGAAAGTTTCAGTGTTTGTGTTATGACATGACCTGGCAAAGAATTTCAGTGGTGGACCTTAATCTTAATCTTTAACATTAACAGATGTGGTACAGGTCCTTATGTAAAAAAATGTGGTCAGAATTAGGTGAAAAATAGCCTAAATAACTGATAATTATGATATGATGGAAATCCTATCTATCAAACAAAGATTTAAGAGGACTAATTGACACCACCATGCATTGAAGTGCTATTTGGTCACCGACCCTGCCTTCTTGGTTATGAATCAGGTGCCTGGTTTTTCTCCTAATCCCATTAGGATTCCTTCCTTGGTTTCCTGTGCGGGAAGCTCTGACAGTGACAGTTCACTTTGTCCTTGTCAGGCCTTACAGTTTTATCTTGATAAAACCAGGGTAAGGGTGAGGTTCCTGTTCTTGGCTGTTTCTGTCCATCAAACTTGAGGTTTTTTAATGTAAAACCAATTTTCATGAGGTAATACTTACCATAACTTTAGTATGCAAATATGGTACCTACACCCATCTTTGTATCCCAAAAACAAAAGATTCAAAAATCCCGCCCTCCCTACGACCATGAGCCTTCACGTCATGAACATAGAGTTATTTCCCTTCCTCTTAGCCTTTATGTAGCACCCGTAGAGGGGCAGTCAGGCAGATAGGAAGAGGGGAGGAAAGGGTGGGACTCCATAAAGTTATGGTAAGTATTACCTCATGAAAATTGGTTTTACATTAAAAAACCTCAATTTCATTTCAGTAATAATTACCATAACTTTAGTATGCGAATTCGTCTTACCGTAGTGGTGACTAGCAGCCAGGCAGCCCATCTAGCAC